TGTGGGCAGAACCACCAGATGTGCCTAGTCCAGGACATCGGGAATTGATTCCTAGCAGGTTCAGGGACTTGTGTGGCAACGCACAACACACTAACTGGCTTCTATTTTTTGGTATCAGGGAATGATTATTAGCCAGGACACTGGATTGCCAAAGATAGTTGATGGTACAAATTCATTAAAATCCCCTGGAACTCCAGAGACAGGTGCACAAAGACTTTTAGCAGAACCTGATGAGAATGCAAGATTTCTTGCAGGCAAGAAAGAAAGCCTTCCCACCGTTTTTAAGGCTGCTTTTGAGAGATTTCAGCACCAATTGCCAGTGTCTGATCTGAAGGAAAAAAAGAAGCAATCAGGCATGACCGAGGTGCTCTGCTAGGCGAGGGTCTTTGCGCAGTTTCTCTTCAAGAGCAAGGTACTTCTGCGGTGCTGTCTGCTTTTCCCTAGAATAAGAAGGAGAATTATCAGAGGAAAGTTGCAGCAGGATGTGGAGAAGAACGTTTCACAGAACAGCTTCACTGCTCAGTAACTAGGAACGCTGAGTGGTAGACCTCCCTGCTCCCCTGAACGTTTTTCAAGTCATAATTCCCAGTACCTGTCGAGTCTCAGTGCTAGAATGTGGATACGGAACATGGTTTCAGAGTAATCAGCAAGGAAGTCAGCCTCCTCCTTCTCGCTGAGCTGATTCTGATTTTCCTGAAACTGCTGGTTCTTCTTCTGCAGCTCTTCTACCTCCTGTTGAGAGAGAGAGTGGTAAGAAGTCAGGCTAATGGAGAGTGAGGAGTGCACAGAAGCGCAACTCAGAGTTCAGGGAGCCAAGATGAAGGAAACCACAAATAAGAGCTGCTTTATTTTCATGAGAGGCAGTGAGTCTGAGATGAGCTCTCACCGAAGAAGAAAACAAGGGAATCAAAACACATGGACCAGCGAGAGGCTGCAAGACCAGAATGTATTGCTTCACTATAGTTAGGAAGCACTGGAGAAACAAATCAGCTCTGCTTGAAACTAAATTTGACTCTGGAGCTATTCCATTCTTTGATCTCACATGTTAATGCCAAAGTGACACAGGTGTGTCTAGGGCTCCCTTAAAAGTAAAGGATTTTTGTTTCCTGCCTGCTGTCATGATGAGATGTGTGTTACCCCCCTGCCAGTGCAAAAACGACTCCAGTGACATGCACATCATGGAGCAAGGCTGGGAATACCTTTTCAAAATGAGCTTGGATGATGTTGGCCTTAGAAACCAGACGATTCTTAAAATCACTCAGGCAGTCGTCTCTGAGGCGAAGGGCCTGCCTTTTGGTTATCTTCTCTGGACTGCCAATTTGAATAAGAAAAGGTGCCAGGTAATCCAGATCCTGTTCCTTTTGTCCTGGGAACTCATCCTTCTTTGCCTTCATCTGAAGGGGGTAGGACAGAAAGAGTCACAATCCCATCTGCTTGTTTCCCTATAGTAAGGCAAAATAAAAACAAAGGCCTAAACTCCTGTGACCCAGTGGTGGAAATGATGTTTCCTTTTCCTGTAGTGTGACCAAAACTGTAGCTTTTCATTAGCTGTGCAATACCAATGTGTTTTTCATTGTGTCATTTTTTTTTTTATCACCCTTTTTAATATCTTTCCTAATTTCCTTGACTGCAGAGATTTATCTTACATAAAATGTACAAGAAGGGCTCCAAAAAAGGCATTTGTATTTGGATAGGATATTTTGAGTGCTATTAATTTGTAGGCTGGCAAATAGCTGATTCTTGGACCTTTGCCTCTGTTTGTGCTTCATGCCAGATGTCTGGCATATAAAACCCAGTATCACCTCTTATAACCTCTCCAATCAGGAAAGTTCAGTCTAAAAATCATTCACAAGAAACATATCAGAGATTTTAAAAAGCTGGAAGTAATTATTCTTCAAGTTTTTTTATTTGCTCACAACATTCATAAGGTAATAATTCCCTGAGAGAGACCCTGAAACAAAACTGCCTTTGCAAGTAATGATGAAAACAAAAAAAAAAAATCAGCTGATTCATAGGGGAACGAAATGTGCAAAGATGTGCACATGCACCTAATGAAATGAGACCTGGCTATAAAGATGCAGCTTGGACTCCATTATCACACTCTCTCCCTAATCTCTATTATCCTTAAAATAATTAACAAGGATTAGTTATTAAATTGTTATCTAAATAAAATAACATTTTTTTTTCTCTGATGTGGGGTTTTCCAGAGAGCCAGGTCATAACATGGCCATGTTATATTTTCAACTTGCTGGGGATTTGGCCCTGTATCTCTTAATAATACTAAAAGATCTTCAGAGCTAATATGTCAGATGGAAAATGCTTACTCTGGATTTAATTTGTGTGCATGTAATTAATACTGGGATTAGTAAAGTCCACCTACCATGGCTTCGTACTCTTGTCTTCTCTTTTCATTTCTCTCTGTATCATATATCGAAGCTGACAGTTTAATGTCTGCTTCTTCATTCTCACGGATCTCCAGAATTTTTAGCACCTTCCAAACAATCAGAAGAGAGATACCTCATCTTTCCCACCAAGTGACAGCACTTTTACATGCTAACAGAGCAGATGCTGCGTACCACAAGTGTAGCACAAGGTTAAATATATCCCAGACCTTTATGAAAAGGTTGAAACTGCAGTAACAGCTTTGGCTTTTTGCTTTGTCACAGCAATACACAGGATACACAGCACAAGCAACACGAATATTTTGTCTGTGAATACATCAAGACTAAGAAGTTTGGTGAAGTAATTCATGAGGTCACGGTTTACGCTCTTCAAATTCTGGAAAATGTTGCAAGCTTTTTCTTAGCTATTATTAATATTCTGCATGCTGTTGTTGTTCATTTCTCTCCAGGGGTTTTTCTTTCACAGAAAAACAATTAAAAAACCAATCAAATCCAATAGCTCTGTCTCCACTTGCCAGAATGACTGAATTTATTGTGAAGTCACCAGAAAAATTTCTAAGAACATGAATTTGTTACACCAGTCACAGTATGATTAGCAGTACAAGCAGTGTATTTTGTGAAGTATTTCCCTACAGTTGTTCCTACAAAAAAGTCACTTTGATATTACTGTTACGGTTTCCTGGAAATGCCTTGCAATTAGATTACATTACATACAACATCCTTTCTTTTTGGTTTCATTCCCAGGCAAGAAAACAAACAGATCTACTCCTGGATGCCCCAGTTCACATGCTGTTATTTCTCTCTGAAACCATTTCCATCCCTGAGAACAAACAGAGCAAGATTTGGAAAGTGTGTGACTCTCCATATCTGTGCAGAACAAGGGATGGGTTGCAAACTTGGTCATTCAGCATGCAGACCAGCTTCACAACGCCAGAGTTTTATTTTTATCACAGCCTAAGCTGAATGAGGCTTTGGCAACCTATCCAATGAAACCAGTTTCCACTCCTGACCGTGCTGACAGCAGTGAGGGCAGCTCCCTGTTACCTCTGCTTGAGTTCTCCAGACTTGTTGCTTCAGCTGCTTCTCTTCCTCTGTTAGCTCTCGCAACAATTTGTACAGGTGGATCAGCTTTGTGTGCTGCTCAGAGGACCCCGCCTGGAAGCAGATAAGCTAGTGAAAGGCAGTATTGTTGTCTGGGTGCATGGGACCAAGTACTTTGCAAACATAAACTGGCACCATTCTGCTAAGTCAATATAAGGCACTGCTTTACACCACAAAAACATCCAACCCATTGTCAATAGTTGACTAGACTTTCACCTAGACTTTGAGTCCATCAGTAATGTCAGCCAGATTGCATGTCCTACACCTCTTTGATGATGTTCCTATTATTTGGCTGAGACTGTCTTTAAGGGTTAGAGATGAAATGACAGCACTCCAGCATTTGCATCTCCCCAGAAATATAAATTAAAAAACATATATTCATAGCGAATCTATTTCAGTAATCTGATTTCCTATGCATAATTGTGCAGCATCACTGCAGATGATGCAGGCAGATTTCTTCCTCTGACTACAAACTCACATCAGAGATGTTAATAGAGTGACCCCTCCATGAATGAGAGAATTTTGTGCAATGACAGTACTCTCCTTTTTTTGGGATATCTTTTATTTAAAGCTATGTCTGTCTATCTATCAGCAATAAATAAAGCCTCAGTATCTTGTCTGAATTTGCAGAGTAAGCTGGAGGTGATTTAAATGACAGCGTGACCTGAGCTTTGTGATCTATGGTAGAATTTGAGTTAAAATCTGCTCCTGCTTTTCTGCTGTAGTCTCTCTAGGAGAGAACAACAAAGGAAATTTCAACTTCCCTGTCATGAATCTGCAGGATTGAGACAAGCAGCTGCTGAATCAGCATCTTGCAAAATCTCAGTGGCCATATACACTACCTGATGAGCAAATGGAGGAGAGGCTGAGCTTGAATATGCCATGCCATGCCATGCTTCCCCTGACATTGCACCTACCCTTTGCGTCCCCATGACCCAGAAGAGCTCCTCGATCTAGGTAGATTTTCTCCATACCTGGTATGTGATGCACATTTCTGGGGTCATGATTTCACTTTGCTTCCTGTAGCTCTCTGTTGGTTTGAAGAAGTCCTTCTTTGAGGCTGTAATGTATTTATCCTTGAGGTGGTATGTCAGTTGGATCATGTCCTCTTCGATCAGAAAGACACGTTCTGCTACATCTTCATCAGCAGGCTTTTGTAGGTTTCTGTGGAAACACTCCTTGATTTGCTAAGTGAAGAGAAAGAGATGGAAGCAATTAAGACTACAGAGAAGAATGGCAACATTTGTGGAGAGTTAAATCAAAGCTCAAGACAAAAACTGGGCCTTTTCGTCCAATTTGGATGTGACAGCTACTCCTAAAGCCTTGGCCCATGGTTGGTCCGTGAAAAAAAAACCAAACACAAAGCTGCTTAAAGCAATACAGATTCCTGTTTGTGGAGCTGAGCATGCTCTTCAAGCTCAAAGTTAGCATGGGATGCATCTCAGTCTGATGGAGCTATGGGAAGCAAGGTATTCTGAGCACAACAAAATATCCCAAATTCCCCAACAAAAAGAAGGGGGAAAAAAAGCATGTTTGGTGTTGACCCAAAGGCTACTGCATGGCTCTGCCTTGGCAGATGAAGTGTCTGAGCCACACCACCAGATGTCAGGTTTTCTCTCTCATCTGTTCTCCCAATCAGACCTGACTGGACAGAGGTACCTGCTTGTAACAGCATTATGGGACACTTTGTCAGCATCACAAAACATTTTTTTGCGGTCAGAACAAAACAGTTTGGAGTCTTGTAAAAATTTCCTTCCAAAATCATCATTAAGCTATTTTTCTTCCCTCTGACACACATTTTCCAGGTCATAATTTCCTAGTTTCATTCGAGTTCTCAGTGTGTTTTGAGACAAATGCGTACACTGTGGCTGTGTCAAGCAAGCAATTGAAAGACACAGCAGCTGAACAAGACTTGGATGCTTCATCTGGAGTTTTGCCTTGGTTGTATTCACTAAGAACGAACCTAAGGCCTCAGGCAGCATGTTTTGCAATGTATAAATATCACTGTGACAGATATTTTTCTGTTCCTGTCTTGGCCGTACCACTATAGGCCGGGAGTTAACATCAGTTCTGGTGCCAACCAAAGTTACTTTCTTTCTTTTAGCGCGAAACTCTGTGTACTGGAAGTACTTGAAGTCATCTCTCCCCACGAAGTACTCTTTCATCTCGTTGTCATTTTCAGCAAGTTTCTGGAGGCCATCGACTCGTGTCTCAGTGTAGAACTCCATCACACGTTCAGTCTGCGGGTTCATTGACTTATAGGTGTGCACTAAGGACACAAAAGAGATTGCGTATGTTTTCACAACTAGTCATCACAATACTAGTGAACACAGGCACATCCAGAGGAAGTCTCATTTTCTTGAGCAGCCAACAAATCAAATGCACCAAAGAGTGTGGGAAGGGAATGTTATATCCTCACTGCTGTTTAGCAATATACCATGGCCTGAGGATGGCAGAACAGCTTTTCAGGGCTACTGCCTTCCTCACACAGCAAGGTAGTGGTGAGTAGAGTCTGAACTTTGCTCTTTCCACACCAGAAACTGGGCAGTCTCTTGGGGAGAAATACTGCTTCAGTAGCACATCTGATGCAGGACTTTGTCTTCTACAGCCGTGTAACGCTGAGAGACTGAATATAATCCCAAGGAGACAGTTTTCAACCTTACTGGTAAAAGTATATATCACTATATATGATACAGATGTCACCTTCTGTTATGCTGGGAAAGTGTTGCCCAGGACTGGATCAGAGACCATATTATTAATCTATGCAATTCATCCTAGATGTTTGCAGCCCCATTGCTTTGAGCTTTTACAACTCCTAGAACAGATTCCCATGATGTCTTGGTTGCCCAGATGAATTAGAATACCTTTGAGACCGAAGAGGTGTCCTGGGCTGAAGTACTCTGTGGTCAGCTGTGTTTGTTTATTCACTTCTCTCATATCCAACATGTCTTCACGGTTTTTGAACCACTCTTTCACTTCTATTGCTTTGCTATCTGGCAGGAGACATGCAATTTCACAGCCTTACATCACCCATTGGAAGTGGTAGGATTCATCTCATATCTGTGCAAGCAGCCCACATAGTCACTAGAATTGGCTCTGTGCACTGGGGCACTTTATTGATGAATCCTAATAGATTAATTCTAATCTACTTTGATGACATGACTTATACCATAAAAAGACTTACTCCTCTTTGTCAACAGAAACTAAAGTCATCAGCTAAGGGAAGAAGGTGAGATAAATTCCATCCTCTTACAGTTTGAGTCTGCGTAGACGGTGAGGCGTTTCACCAGCCCATTTCCATTGGAGTATGGTGCCCATTTCTCCAGTTTTGCCTTCTTGTAGAGGATCACCTTCCTCCCCTGGGAACAGCGGGTCTCAAACTCTGCAGTAGGCAAGGGAGGTGTCAGAAAGATTGGCAGGCAGTCTCATATGAATAGTGGTAACAGAAACTCCATCCCAGGCAAAATCAGGAAATTAGCAGGAAAAGTGTGTGTGTCTATGGGAACTACCCATCCACAATGAGACAGTGCATAGAAGGTGCATTCAAACCAATAGCAAGTGCATGCCTTGATCTACTGCACTGTGCTGCTGTACCTCAAACATCCTGAAGGCAGAATTCTTCCAGATCTACTAAAAGATTAGCTGGAAGGCAAGCAAAAGGCAAAGAATGTGCACCTTTGGGAGATATCTGAATTGGAGCTACCCATGACGGTGGCATGGCAAAACTTATCTCCTCCTCTTCCTCCTCTTCTTCCTCCTCCTGTTGAAACAAAGGATTTCACTTTTAGTAATTTCTCTGACAGTGCCAGGAGGCCTTCTGGTTCTGGAGAATGCACTGCAGCAATCAGCAAGCAACTCACAGGAGGCCACATTTTATCCTGTGCAACACAGTGGCACAGTTATGTGCTGTATCAATCACACACAGCCAGAGGGCAGGAGCAAGCAGCATGCTGCAATTCTCAGGGAAGGTGAACTTTATTGTATCCCTGCATTCTTGCTAGCACATCTTATTCCAAGCCTAATGAAATGTGGCTAACGCTTATGCTGGGCAGGTTATGAATGTGACTTTTGCCATTCAAACTAATGACCAGCTTATTTTATACAGACCATGGAAGAAGTTTTGATCCTTGGTGATGAACAAAAGCTGAGAAGATTAGATATGAGGAGGGAATGTATTGTTATCAGTGTTTCTCCGTAGTGCTGTGCTGGTGTAATGTCTGCTTTATCATATTTTGTTCTTCCAGCAAGACAACATAACATTTATACATACTTTATGTCTACACTTGGTTGGCAACTTGTAAGAGCTGTCTGCTGACTAACAGAGAGAGGATGTTCAGAAAATTTTTGTTTTAATTTTGTTTTTCTGAAATTCCTTTGTCCCAAAGGTCAGTGCACTGGAAGGCTGAGTGCTAACCATTCAAGTCACTCACCATGTCATCCACGTTCCTATCAAACAGCTCATTTTCCTTCTCAGCACCCAGGAGCAGCTGAAGAGGCTTGTCAGTCTCTGAAAGCATGATTTCCCAGTGGACAGCATCACTCAAATCAAAGACAAGATCCTAGGCCAAACAGAAGAAATCCGCAAAAATACAGAGCAGCCTCAAGGGCCTGACACTAAACTCAACACTGCTTCTGCACACCTGCAGACTCTGGACACCCTGGATCTCAGCGAGATTGAGCTCATCAGATCTCTGGCTCGCTGGTGGGATGCCAAAGACTGGCTCTTTGCCTGGAAGGCTACTGGTCCTTTTCCTCATGGTACCTCTGCCATGGCTGAGGGAAGTGCTTCTGCTTCCTTCCTTGAGGCATGCATGGTCCCAGGGTCATCCAGATGGGCCTAAAGTGACTCTGATTCAGCCCCTCTCCTTCCAGCCTTTCTATCAGCTGGGCAGTAGCTAAGGTGTGAGAAGAGTCAAATCAAGATCTTTCCTACCCTGAGCTTAACAGATTTTACCCTAAAAGTTCTTGATGGAAGAATGGTTGTCCAGCCAGCCTTCCAGTGTTGTGTGGGGTTAATAGGTGTGATCCATATGTGCTAGCTCAGAGAGTGGGATGCCAGGAACTAGCTCCAGGTACCAGGCCTGATGTCTAAGTAATCAGAATTACGTGCCCAGAGCCAGTGTAGGGGAATAGTGACTAGAAACCTGGATCACCACTGATTTTGGACTCCCTCAGAGCTCAGCCTGACTGTCCCTTTTAGGTGCAGGGGTGTTTAAGAGCTCACTACCTTGCAGCCGTTCCGGCAGTCCTGCATATTCACCCAGTAGTTCTTGTGGTTCCAGACACTCTCAATTCCAAGGAACTGCTCATCCATGGTGCTATGGCTGTTTCCCGTGAAGGGATCAATGAAGAAAGTTTCGGGAACCTCTCTCTTGCCAGACAGAACCAAAACCCAGGCATGCACCCGTAAACCACATAAATGGTCATGTGCGGGCTCTTCTGCTTCCTGCAGTCCAGAAGACAGAGCAGTAATTATTGCTACTTTATTGCCACTTTAGTCCAATCCATCAGCAATCTTATTCTTTCCCCTGCCCAATTTTGAAGACCTCCAAACTCTTCATTCTCTTCAGAACAGTGTGTAGTACATGCTCAGCGTATATTCCTCTGCTAACACACACCGTGTTTCCAGAAACCATGCGCTTATGGCCAGAATCTGAGTTGTACTGTACTGCATGGAGGGTTGTGAGCTCCTTTCTTTGGTCAGCTATTACCCATGTCCCAACTCTTACACGTCTCAACTCTTGCTAATGGTGTTTGAGAGTAGGGTAGACATTGCTAACTCACCATGCCCCTCTCTTCTCTTTCCTTTTTCTCAGTAGCTTCAGTTTCTGCTTTCTTCTTGGCCTCCTGCTGAAGCTCAAACTTGCTGTGCATGTCTGGGGGAGGCTTAACTCTATACTTGTTAGACTTCTTCACTTCTTCTTTTGGGACCTGCCTCCACAAAAGCAAAAATTGCTGTTAAACCCAGCGGGAATCAAGAAAAGAGAGAAAGCACGGGCAAACTGTCACCCTCTTTAAATGAGTAGCATGATTAGAAAGCAAACGGGCAGTGGGGCTGGGCGCCCCACAGCCTGCCATCACACTCATTCTTATCACACAGTGGACACACCAGAGATGCCTGCTTCACTGGCCTCCAGTGTGCTTTGTCTTTCTCACCAATGCCATGGTTTTCTTATCAGAACCAGACACCCAGGCTCCCCCCTGCCTACTCGCTGCAGGTCTCCTCACCTCCTGTGGCTTCCTGAGCAGTGGGCACTCCTCCAGAGTCTCATCCAAGCTGCATATGTCGTGGGTGGCATACCCATTCACACAGTAGGCATCATACCCAGCTCCAATCAGCATGGAACACAGCAGCACACTGAAGTCAAAGCAGTTCCCTCGCTGGTACTTCAGGATGGTAGTTGGGGAATAGAGTGAAGTGGGCTTGAAAGAAAGGAATATCTGTTCACAGCATTTGTCTTCTGAAGCTGAAACAAGCCCCGGATATGAGAGAGAGAGGACATTGCTCATATCCCTGGGCACTGCATCCATAGGGAGTCTGTTAAAATGAAACTCATACATAAACCACAGACTCTAAAAGTTCCTTCCAAAGTAATGTGGGGAAATTCTGACCCTAAATCTTGTGCAAATTTAACCATAGGGAGAGATGGACAGGACAAATTTGCCAGGCTACTGAGAATCGAATGCTAACCACAACACCAGAATGGGGCTTATCTCCATTTCCAGCTGGTCTGCCTGCAGCATTTCAAAGCAAAAGACCCATAACCTAAATTATAGCACAAAGGCAACGTACTTCCTTTTGGTCCTCACTCCCCAGGCAAAGGGAACAATGCGCAAAGTGAATATAGGGAGATTCTACTTACACCATCTATGCCCAGATATCAGACTGAACCTTAGGTTTGATCAGTCTTTGTCCACTAAATCAAGACACATTCTTGACATCAAAGTGTCTCTTGAGCCCCTGGGACTCCTGGGACACACCTGGCCAGCATGGAGCTCATGTAGACTGTTTGGAGCACACTGAAGGATATCAGCAGTCCTTGCTAACAAAGACTGGTTGGTCCCTTTGCTTTTGCTGGTTCATACCACCCCCAGGACATTGGCTTCATCTCTTCTTGCCACTCTAGGGGGACTGCCCAAGTAATTGTGGGCTGCTGGAGGGACAAAAGGACTTTCCACATTGCGTCCTTTCACCTCCATCAGGGGGCTGTTTCTGAAGGGACTGCAGCCCCTTTCTTACCGGTGTGAGAGGGAACTTGAGGGGCTCCATAGTGAGATAGTCAGAGACAAAGCTGGCACAGCCATCCCAGTGGTACAGCTCTGTGTAAGGCAGCAAGGTTGGCCTCACTGTTGTGCTCACAAACTTCTGTAAGGCAACAAGAGGACTTTGATTAGCCAACGTTTTACTGGCGCAGTTTCCTATCCGAAGCCATCCTCAGACAACCTTGGGATGTTGCAGCTTATACTCAAGACTTCCCTGGAGCATACCTACATACCGATGGTACGCCTCATCACCACTCAGAATTGGAAATGCATGGAGTTAAGAGGCTTTGTGCCAGTAGACACTTCTGTTTGTTTGTGCCTAAAAATTCAAGCTAATATCAGCCACACTGCAGATGTGAGCCAGATCTCTTAGTTTTCATGTGAACTAGCTACTGCACTTTCTGGCTTCTATATCCTCTGGCATTTACTTATTTTTTTGCCTTGTATGATATTTATGTAATAAATGTTGGAGGAAGCTGATCTAAAGAAGCAATTCCACACACGCAGGGGAGCAGCAGGTCCATAACTAGACAAAAACTGTGCAACTTGGGCCCACTTCCACACCACCCTTTACCTCCACGCCACATTCATTGACAGGGTGCAGGAAGAGCGGCTTGCGTTCAGGGCAGAGGTGAGCAAACTGCTGGTGGTAATGATCAGCAATGTGCAGCATCTTCTTTTCTTTTGGGGAATTCACCTTGTATGAGTCTGGTAACTGGGATGTGTCGATGCTGTTCCAGTCAAAATCACTTGAGAGACAGAAGGAGGCAGAGAAACACAGGTAATAAAGTGGGGAGCAATTTAGACAGGATGATCTGCAATCAAAACACAGGAAGGGCTCCCTGATGGAAACAAATGGGGCTCATATCCAAGAAGAGATCATTTAAAGTGGACATGATTTAGACATAGCCAAGCTTCTCTGGAGTGATGGCAAGCGAATGTAGACTGAGAGTACTGGGGAATCTTTATACAGTGTTTTGATACAGTATTGAATGGATGGAAAATGAAGTGATTTATCTTGTCTTACTCACAGACATGGACAGCTCACCAGGCTCACCAAAATTTGCTCCCCCCACCCTGCCTTGCACAAACAAGCTTCAGCACCAGCTACAAGCTGTGGCTTCTCCATGGACCCCCCTGCAGGACTGTCTCTGCTCATCCCAGTGACTGGCACACATGTGCAACTTACGGTACATCACTTGAAAAGCAGACTTTTTCCACAGACAGCTTTTTATCCATGTCGTGAAGCTCACTGCCGACCTCCAAAGCCTTCAGCTCTTCTTCCTTTTGCTCTTCTTTTTCTTTCTCTTCTAGGACCTCCATTTCGCTTCCTCTACAGAAATACATGCAACAAGATGGGACCAGGCGTACAGCAACACCAAAACTCTGGGTGCAGTGACTCCCATTTCTGTGTGTTCTGTGCAAGCACTGAACTCGAATTCAGGCTGGGCAGGTGGAACACAGGGGCAGCTGGTGGGACGGAGATTTGTTTGGTGGGTGCCATGCCACAGCCTCAGGCCCTGTTGTGGCCCTTCAGGGCACCCAGCCAGGGCTGCTGGGGAGGAGGTTGTTTGTAGCTGCCTCAGCAGCAGAGCAGCCTCCAAGGCCGCAGCGCTGCTCCTATCGCCTATTTACATTTCAGGGAGGCTGGGGGCCGTCCATTTCCCTCCCTGCGGTCAGGCTGACCCTCTGCACTGTGGGGCACGGTGGACCTTGTGGCTGGGGGCACGAAGTGGGGGAATCCAAGAGCCCAGCACCACACCCAGCCGCCGCCATCCCGCGGGGATCCCTCCAGTCCCTTCAGCCCCACAGCCCCTGCAGCCCCGCACCTCTGTCCTCTGCCAAAGCCTCGCTGCCGGGCCTGGTCACCATGGCAACGTCCACGCACCCAGCAGCCTTGGCGCAGCCTGTGGCCTCCCCCGCGGCCCAGCCCTGGGCCTCCCCCGCCCTATGGAGACAGGAGGCCCTGAGCTGCCCCCCGGGCTTCCACAGCCCCCTCGGCTGCCCCACTTTTGTTCACCACTCACTTCAGCACCTCCATACACAGCCTGGCTGCGGCAGGTGCCTCAGCAGCCCCACAGCAAATGGGCTGGGAGCTGCGGGCCTGGGTCTGGCTTTGGGCCTGGGTCTGGCTTTGGGCCTGGGCCTGGCTTTGGGCCTGGGCCTGGGCCTGCTCTGCCCACTCCAGGCTGCAGGACTGCCCCTAAACTCATGGGTTCCACTGCTTTTGAGTGTGACAGGAGGCTTGGTTTTTTAAGTGTTGGTTCTTCAGACAGACAGCTGCTAAGCACTGCTCCATTTCTGTGTTTTCTCTGTGTTAGGACAAGCCTGCCCTGCTCACAGGGGGCACACAGGGGCGGTGAGGTGTGCCATGAACAGTGCTGGGCACGCAGGCAAACCACAGTCAGATGTTTTAAATCATTCTTAGCTGGGCGCTTTCTGTAACAGCAGTTTACACAGCATATCAAGTAGCATCACTCTGAGTGTTGCTCAGTGTTGTCATTCACAAAGTGTGGCAGAACCAAGCCCTTATCCCTGTGTCTGTCATAGCATCCCTCAAAAGATTTGAGATTTCAGAAGTCACTGAAAAACCAGAGCACGTGTGTGTGGATGGGAAATCATGTGTGTTCATGTGTGGAAGGGAAACTGCATGTACTGAGTGCACAGTTGTTGGCCTCTGCATGTACCACTATGGTATCTGCTGTTCCTGCTGAGGCAAAGCATGTGCCACAACAGCAGGTGGATGCATAAAGCCCCAGGAAGCAGGGGATGGTGTAGATATAGGGATATTGCAGACGCTGCTCCTGGTTGGAGTCCCATCAGGGCTGTGATTTGGGTCAGCATTCACCAGCCCTGAGCTAATCAGAAGGGCCATGCTGGAGGACACATTTTTGGAGAGCTGTTTCCTCCCCGTCTGCTGGTGGCTCTTGTGCAATCGCAAAGGCAGCGTGTCTGCGTGGGGGAGCGATGAGCTGCTGGGAGGTGATATAAGGCAGGCAGCTGGGAGCACGAGAAGGACCCAGCTGGCTGCGGGTGGGCAAGTGTGGAGTGGTCTGGCAATGGTGAGTAGGATAAGAGAGATGGGAGCTTTGTGTTGAGGATGTATGCAGTCCTTGGGCTGGTGGGCAGGATGAGAGCAGATGGGAGCTTTTTGTTGAGGCTACTGCAGCCATGAGTGGCACATCTGAGAGAAGGTTTGCAGAGTGCCCAAGGCAGCTGTGCCAAGCTGGGAACAGACCTGCACTTGCTGTCAGCATAGTTCTGGCAGCAGCAGGAGCCAGGTTTCCACTGAAGCTCGAGAACCATGCCTTGGGGCTGTGCCCTGCAGTGCAGATGGGGCTCTACATCCCCAGAGCTTTGCATCCTCCTTGCCCAGATTTCTGGTGGTTGCAGATGCTCATGATAGGGCTGAGGGAATAAACAATTTGCTGCTAGACCAGAGTATGGCAGTCCAAAGCTTTTGTCTTTGGCATTGCCCTGCTGTGGGGACGTGCAGCCAAAAGCCCCAAGTGACTCATATCCACAGTTCTGATAAGGGTCCTGGGCTTATCCTGCACCACGTCATTAATTTCTCTAAAGAAATGTGTTATCTGATCCAGCCTCGGAGGTTGACTTTATCTGAGTCTTCATGACATAAATTTGAGTTATGTTTAAGATTTGATTCTTTTCTTTTAATCCTATTGCCTCTCCTGTTGTGGATATGGGTTACTGGAAAGGCAAGCACGGCCTCATAAGACCTAAATCTTCACATTAGAACTACGATTGGAAAGCTTAGAGGGAAATTCCTTTTCTCTTATGGGAACCTGGGCTGAGAGGATTGCTGTTTTGGCCCTTTGGGAAATTACTTAGGAAATTACTTCATACCATTGAACCTACAGTTTTTGGAGGAAATACAGTATAGAAATTATTGTACCCATGTTTGAGGGCTGGCTCTGAGTGATTGCCAACACCTCTGCAATGAGGACCTGCTGAAAACTTGCATTACCCAGAGCCTGATTGTTCTTACAGGAAGGGACTGTGACATATTTGCTGCTGTTCTCTGCCCTGTGCCTGGCTGGCTGTGAAGGCAACAAGAGTGAGTCTCCTTGTATGCTGCCCTGTGCAGTTATAGACGGGGATATGGAAAGGAGAGGTCAGAGCCTCTTCAGCCTTTCTGAGCAGTGGGGTGAACTTGCTCTCATTCTCTCAGAGGTTAGATGTTCCTGCTGCATTTCAGCTTGCTTGCATTGCCTTCCCTGCAGGTGAGCTGGCAAGTCCGCACAGCTTGAGAGGAAGGTTTGCCCTGCGTGCCAAGAGGAGCTCAGATGCCTGCATGCCCAACCCATGCCAGTACCATGGGGGCTGCCAGGTGATAGAGGACAGACCCACCTGCAGCTGCAAACCTGGCTTCACAGGGGCGTTCTGCCAAGGTATGGCCTGGGGTGCTGGCAAGCTCAGTTTGCCCACAGGCACCAAAGGGAAAGGTGATGGGCAGGGTGGTGTTCCTGCCTGTTCCCTTGACTACAGAATTCTACAGACAGTCCTCCCCCAAAGGGGGCCAGACCTGTGACATGTGCCTGTGGTGTCTTAGCTTGACGACTGTGTCCATTCAAAGTAGCAGCAGTTGCAGACTTGTCAGATCCTCATTAAATTCAGCTCATTTCCAAGGGTTTGTCTTTTGCTTTCCCCCAGTGTCTCTGAAGACCCCTACCAGCAGCCTCCCGTGAGGATGGGATAAGGGTCTGTTGAGCTCGATAGGACTGTGTCATCCCATAGCTGACTTAGGGCTCCTTCAGGCATCTTCCTTATTGCTATTGCAGATGGCTTTTTCCCCCAGATGTGGTACTGAAGTTGGCCTGTGAGGAAGAGCACATGAAGATGATGGTGAGGAAGGAGGTGTTTGAACAGTTGAAAATCCCCCGGGAACTTGTCCACTTGAAGAACCAGGCATGCAAGGTTTCAGAAAGGGAAGAGGAGGGTGAGCTGTTTTTTGCAGCCACTCTCACAGGTGAAAACCACACTGCCTGTGGATCAATAATTCAGGTGAGGATCCAGCACAGTGCCTCTCTGAATAGCTCTGAAGCCAAGAGAGAAACAGATATGCTGAATGGGGACAGCCCTGGAGCCTTTTCCTTTTTTATCTGGCAGTGTGAATCTCTCTTTCCCCTTGGGAGGCTTCCCTGGAGGCTCTTCTGCCTCCACCAAACCACTGCTGGCAGCACATCTTATCTTGTGCAGCAGAGCATGGAAGTCTCAGTGTGCTCTTTAGGATAAGAGCCTTCAGCTTTCTGGCAGGATCCTCTGAGCTCTGCAGACCTGCCGATAGTCAGTACATCACTTAATTCATTAGAATGTGCTGTACTCCATACATGAGCTTAGGTATAGTTTCTTTGTCATTCCAGCAAAACAGCTCCCATGTGTCATACTCCAACATCATTGAGACAGCAAGGGAAGCACACAGGGGTGTGATCTCCAGGAGCTTTCAGCTGGAGGTGCATTTTTCCTGCGTCTATGCCTATGAGCAGGTGGTGAAGATGCCATTTGCTCTCATCCCTGTCGACAAGTGAGTGGTCCCTCTTCACCTTGCTGCTGAGATGTGTATTCAAGCTTGTGGGAAAACAGATGCCTTTGATGAGATGATCAGCAAAGGCGCTGGGGAACCATGAAAGAGCTCTGAGAGCAGTATCACATCGGGGTGCCTCTCTTTCTCTTCCCCAAGAGGGCCCCATGGTAGTTTTTCAGGATAAGGTTTGGGCCTTGGGTAGGGGCACATGTAGTCTGCCTTTCTCCTACCTCCATGACTAGTTGGGCCAACTCCATATGGGATCTGGTGTCAGCAAACATGAAGAGCCTGTGCCAGCACTGCTGACCTGACGTGGCTGTTCATGAGCTCTCTTCTCTCCTCACAGGCTGGTACAGTTCATGGTCAGAGAAGGGCACTTCAACGTCAGCATGAGGCTGTACAAGACCGCATCCTACCTCGAGCCCTACCAGCTGCCGACTGCGGCCGTGCCCATCAGTGACACGCTGTATGCCATGCTGAAGATAGAAGGGCAGCACCAGCTCCGGTACTTCCTGCTGAGTGTGGAGGACTGCTGGGCCACGCCAAGCGCAGATCCCTACCAGGATGTACGACATGAGCTCATTGAGCAGGGGTGAGCATACCTGGTCTCCTTGCTGTGTGTGTCCCAGACTGGGGTGTCCTTTTTTTGCCTGCTGACTGTGTTATTTCACCCCAGGTGTCCCCATGATGAGACAGTGACATACTTGAATGCCATTGGAGAGAGCACCACAGCCAAGTTCAGCTTCCAGATGTTTCAGTTCGTAGGGTACCCCAAGGTGTTCCTGCACTGCCGTGTCCGGCTGTGCCTCCCTGACGGCCCTGAGCCCTGTGCCAAGGTCAGTTCTTAGGAGTGACTTGGGGAGAAGCAGGTTAAGGTTCCTTTGTTAACCAGCTCCTTTCCCATGTTTTGGGGCTCGCCATTCTCCTAGGCTGCACCACAGCTGTGCCTCCGCTGGGGCAGAGCACCAAGGTAGCCTGTCCCCCTGGCAGGCACTGACCCCACAGGAGGGCTTCTTCCCTGCCCTCTTCCCTTCCTTTTATTCTGTTAACAGCAATGTCCCACTCTCTGGAGGAGCAAGCGGGCACTGGCAGATGACTACAATAAAATTGTCTCCTATGGACCCATCCACCTGCTGGCTGCTCCTTCCCTGAGAGCGGAGAGCCATCATCCCACGGCTGACCAAAAGGAAGTGAAGGGTACATATGCCACTCCAGGGAGGATCAGGGCCAGCTTGGGGGACCCAGACCAGTAACCAACCTTTCTTCTCTTTGGTAGGACCCAGCCTGTGGTTCCCTGGGATCCTCATCCTGCTGTGTGTTCTTGGTGTGCTCGCTGTGGCTGCTGCAGCTGTCAGCATGAGAAGATGTATGGTGTAGAAAATAGCCAGTTTCAAATAAATGTGGCAGTGGCAGAGAGGCTCTTCTCTGTGTCTTTACAGAGGTTTGGAGGAAGGAAATCCAAATGTTGCTCAAAGGATGAGTCACATCAGAGTGTTTCTGTTCACTGAGCATCTTTCGAACGTTCCCATGCCCTCCTGGCCCATGGTGAAACAAGTACCCAGGAAAGCTGAGCAGAAAGGGCTGCTCTGGGGTGATGAGGTAGGATGCCTCATGGGCTCCAGTACCCTCCCATGGGACAGGGCTCAGCTGTTGGGCTCTGCAAGACCCAGTGACCCAGCTGTAGCAGGGCCTGCCTGCAGGCATGGCATAGAGCTTCCAGAGAGCAAACAGAGCAGCTAGATTTTTTTTTCCTGAAGTCCTTCTTACGCTGGGCAGGTGGGTGGTTTTGGAAGGAGGTGGGGAGATAGAGCTCTTTGCCCACCAGATTTGGGCTTTGCATGTGTATGGGAACTGCTGAATCACAGCATGAACCTCTGATTGACCACCTGAGGCAAGCAATGAGTCAGCCATGGGAGCACAGGTGAAGACAATTCTCCTGTGCTACTGGAAGGGGTGGAACCTGGTTCCACCTCTCCTAGACCCCTTTTAAGAGCTGACTCCACTGGGGAAGGATCTTTTTTGGAGACTGCTCTTCTTGGAGCCTTAGCAAGCCCAAGGACAAGGGTAAGCTTTCCATCCATTCTTCTTTAGCATGATAACCTGTTTAGCCTAACTTTCTTTATATTTCTTAATAATAACATCTGTATATTCATTGATTATGCATATGTGTGTCCACACAGATATCTTCCCCCTGCATGACAGCAAATTGCTAGAAAGATTTTGGCTCACCAATAGATCTAAGAGAAGAAAATTATAAATATTGTTCACTTGTAAACATCAAAGGCGAAATCCATAATGTTAGTTAGCTAGCAGAGTTTTAATGCTAAAACACAGACGTGGATTGGCCAATACAGCAGTTCTCTGTGAGAGGCTGAGCTGATGCGCATACACTCACATACAGTGTAGAGGGGATGGTGTAGCTCAGGGTGCAGCTGGCTGTGCATCTCCAGGCTGATCTAGCACCCAATTCCCTCTCTTCTGCTGGGGTAAGGGGATGTCTCCATGTAGGATGAATGCAGATGGCCTGCATGCAGATTCCAGCAGGAGGCACTGAGGAATGAGACTTCCGAGGGCACACAGTAGGGAGGAGGGTGTCTGGAGCTCCCTGGACCAAACTGGTCCCCAGGAGCCAAAGGGCAGCTAGGGCAGATCACACCCACCAAAGAATAAAATGAGGCATGGGTGAGAGCAGGGACCATGCTGGTCAGCCAGGGTGCCCAGCTGCCTATGCAGCCCTTGCTCTCACGGGAAGCCATGTCCTTTGGGCTGGAAGCTGGCAGGCGGAGAGGGAAGGCCCAGCAGCTATCCCTGTGACACAGCCATGGTTTTGTCATTCCTCACGATGTGGGAGAGGGAGCTGCTGGTCTCCTCCACCCTTGGGTAGTAGAGGACAACCAGCCAGATGAAGATGAAAACACCTGCAGGGGAAGGAAGAAGATCATGGTGGCAGCAGCAGAGAGAGAGAGGCTCCTCCAAGTGCCTCTCCAGGGCTCAGCATCAGCGGCTGTCCTTCATAGCAGGTCCCTCTGCTCCTTGCTGAAGGGAAGGACATGACTGTGCCTTGGGACTCTGGTCCACCAGTGCCAGGCTTCCTCCTGCCTCCCCCCCTTCCCAGCCAGACCCTGGGAGCTGGCCCTGACCTTGGAGGGAGTTGAGGATAGCAGCAAGAAAGATCATGAACTTGGAAGAGCTGCCATAGCTGAGGAAGGACAGTGCCCAGGTGGCTCCAAGCAGGCAGAAGAGTCCTATCGCTGACAGGACCACCTTCCAGGCCTTGCAGTGCCCCTGCATCACCCCACTCCTCCACAGGTGGCAGTTCTTCCAGGCCACCACCCCGAAGATGATGGTGTTGAAGAGGAAGATGAGGCCGAAGTAGGCGCAGTTTGTGATGTAGTGGACAAGGAGGTGTTCAGAATTGATCCAGCACCTGAAAAGAGACAACTGCAATGCTTCCAGCAGCTCTGCTCCCCACACATCTATGGGAACACCTCCCCATGGCTAAAAGGCCACCCAAATTCTGCAGGCATGTGCCACACACAGGTGGATTATGGTCTGGTTGTCTGCTGTCCTGATGCTGTATTTTCCATAGCTGCCAATGGCTCCTGCCACCCCCACCACCAGAACAGGGAAGCCTGGAAGAACAAGAGAGAGCAGTGTGGGGGAGGTCAGGGTTCTCTGTCTCTGCAGGTACCCGTAACACTGCAAAGCCCAGTTCCCTCTGGCTGTAACCCACAGGCTCCCTTACTCCCCAGCAGCCTGTGCTCACCCCATCCGACAATGCACAGCTTCAGCAGGTAGTGGTGTATGTAGGTGCCGAGGACCTTGACAAAGAGGAGGTAGAGGTGACAGCCCTCCAGTACTGTCCAGGTGAAGCAGCAGAGCAGGCAGTAGTGGGTGAGCCCCCCCAGGGCACTGCACAGCCCCAGAGGGGCTCTGCTGGAGAGCCCACTGTTGAGCAGGAAAGCCAGGTTGAGCAGGAGCAGGCTGCTGACCAGGTTCATGTGCAGCCCCAGGTTGATGCGGAGGGTGTCCTCGGACCTGAACTGTTTGTAACAGCACCTGGAGGGAGCAGAAAGGGTGGGGGCATTGGGTGGGGGAGGCACGTACTGGGGGGGTCACAGCAGGCACTGACAAGTGGAAGAGGAGAGGGGCACCCCTTCCCCAAGGCCTGGGTTGCTCCACATTCCTCCCCAAACCTATTCAGGGTCTGTGGAGCTGCTTGTACACCCCACCTTAAGAAGATGTAGAAGGCAAAGGTGAAGATGGAGAAAGCCACAGCCACACCACAGCCAGCATTGGCCACGGCCACAAACGTCTGTGCCGTGGACCTGTCCAGAGATGGGTTCTGCCAAACATGAATGGTCAGATGGGTCCAAACCAGCCTAGAAAAGCTGGCTGTTGCAGCCCAAGCCACAGAGCCAAGGGAGGATACCCCCCAGCAGGGTGCTGCAGGGACTTCTACAAGCCCAGAACCCTCAGGTCTGTCCCCGAGTTCCCCAGGGAGAGCAGAGGTGGTGGTGGTGGTGGCTCTGGGAGGGATTTCACTGCTGCCAGAATAGAACTCTTTCCACCCTACCCATCCTCCACTGATCTGCTCCTGCCCTCCAGGACACAAAGATGGGGCTGGGGTTGATGTTAGGGAAGGCTTGGGCTCGCCTAGGAGCAAATACAACTGTCCCTGTGCACCCAGCAGTGACACGTGAAGGACCAAGCAGCAGAGCAGGGGTAAGAGTGGGAGCTGTAGGGAGAGGGGTTGTCACCAGGAGGAGGGTGAAGAAGGAGAGGTGGTCACAGGAGCAGACTGTCTCCTTGTCCCCGGGCTGTGTGACACATCCGTGGCTGCTCCAGCCTCCTGCCTGCCCTGCAACCAGCACAGGACCACAGTGGTGGGTGCCAGCCCAAACCCGCATCCTGCCTCACAGAGCGCAGGTTGGGGGGCTGCGGTGCTTATTGGTAGCAGGATGGCAGCCAGGAGCATGGCAGACAGCCTGTCCACAGCCCCACTGAGCCCTGCTGAGCCTCGTACCTTTGCTAGGTTCCCAGAAGACGCATAGAGGGGTGACATTCTGCAAACAGGGACACGATGTGAGCCTGCACCTCACCAGGAGGCACAGGGAGGGGAGGGCAAGCCTTACGTGTGGCAGCTGCTGGTAGGGAAAGGTGAGCTGCACGGGGTCCTGCAGCCCTGAGATGTCTCCATCCCCCACCACGATGCCCACCACGGTGTCATCCAGGACCTTTCCCATTTGGTTGTCCTCCTGCTTGGAGCAGTGCCGGCTGAGCTGAGACAACAAGCATCTCCCACATCCCAACGACTGAAGTGGGAGCTCATACCTGGAACATGGCGAGCTGCTGGATGTTGAGCACAGTCACCACCACGCGCACTGCCTGGCCGCTCGGGGATGGGAACACCCCGCTGGGGAGCCGGATTGTGCCTGCTGTCCCCTCCTCTGCTGAGCTGATCACTGCGGGGCCCTGGGGCAGACCCAAGCTCAGCCCTGCCCACGTGGGTTCTGCCAAGCAGGGCTGCCACGAGGCCAATGTGGAGGGCATGGAAGCACGTGTGGGGCCCTCACCTCAGCAGGGGAGAATGCGAGGAGCAGGCCTTGGGCCACGGCCCCGCTGACGTTCAGGTGCAGCGCCCACAGGCCAGCTGTGCTGTTCTGTTCTGCAAACTGCACCATTCTGTGGGGCAGGCAGCTCTGTGGGGCACAGCCCAGGGCACTGCCGTGGCCCCATAGCACCCCGCAGCCCAATGGGGCACAGCCCAGTGCACTGCTGTGGCCCCATAGCATCCCACAGCTCCGTGGGACACAACCCAGGGCACTGCCGTGGCCCCATAGCACCCTGCAGCCCCATGGTGCACAGCCCAGGGCACTGCCGTGGCCCCATAGCACTGTCCCACTACCTGAGCCAGCGTGCCCGCAGGCAGCGGCAGGCAGGCTGGCCTGAGTGCCGCAGCTCCATGCACTGGTGGGGCAGCTCCAGGGCCAGGCCATGGCTCTCACCACGCGCCTCCGGCTCCACCGCCATGTTGCAGCACTGCTTGGTCTTGTCCCCATGAGACAGCGCTGTGGGAGGCAGCGGTCAGGGCCCGGCGGTGGCATGGAGGCTGATGGGGTGTGGGTGGGCTGGGGTCTCACCATCACAGCTGTCCCGGCCTAGCGCGGTGCCTTGCAGGGGGGAAAACCCAGCGTCAGCCCTCACCCGGATGGGGGAGATGGGTGCCAGCTCGAAGCGAGCACATGGACATCCCCCAGCCCCTCCTGGCTGTCCCAGTGCCACCCAGCCCCATCCCACCCAGTCAGCACTCACCAGGGAGCAACAGGAGCAGCAGCACCGTGCCCAGGTGGAAGAGCTCCATGTTGCCTCCGGGGTCTCCCGTCCCACAGCCCTGCTCTTCTGCAGGCTCCCCAGGGGCTCACAGCTTCTCCTGAGGCAACCGCAGTGTCCTCACTTCCTTTCTGTAACCCCCTTCCTGTGGGTTGCCATGTAACCTCCTGCCTTCAGCTTGATGCCAACCACGATTAGCGGTTGGAGCTGTTTTGTCTCCCCAATGAGCTCCTTGCTTTTGTTTTTCCTTCCCTTCTCACCCCATCCTGCCCAACCCTACTGTGCCAACAAACAGCAAGATATACGTTGGAGTGTCCCACTGCCAGCTGAGCCTGTGCCACCCATGGGCATGACCAAAGGAGGGACCCCAAAGGACAGCTCACCAGCAGCAGAGACCCCAGGGGGACACACTCAGAGTGGGTATGACTTTAATGGGCACAGGTCTGACGTGCGAGCGCAATCATTCAAGGTTTTACACCATACAAAAATAGAGAAACGTTCAACAAAATAACAAAAATAGATTATTTCAGCTGCTAGAGGGTGTCCCCGTGGCTGTTATTCTCTCTTCACCTGGGAAGGGCCCTACTGGTGGCCACAAGCAAGGGCTGGAAACGGGGTCTTTCCCACCTGCTGACCTTGGGGCAATGGAAGGGACATTGGGAGGCACAGAGGGCCCTGTCCCTGCCCCGTGCCGCAGCCCTATGCATCCCTCTGCCCTGCCCTGGGAGCCAGCCCGTCCCTGCAGGAGCAGGCAGGCAGGGATGAGGACACCCAGATACTCGGGGAGATGCAGTGATGGGGAACATGGGGCCAGCGGAGGCGAGGGGCTGAGGGTCCCCGCCGTGGGTCCCTGAACTCCCAGCGGGTGCAGTAGCGAAGCGACCACCCTCTGCCAGGCAGCCCCACGGCATGGCCAGCACGGGGCTCAGCCGGGGTGGCTCTGGCTGCTGTTGGGCTGTAGCTTCACGCTGTCAGAGCTGCACTGGAAGTCAGAAGACTTTTTCGCCTGCAGCACCATGGTCCAGTACCAGAGAAAGATGAGAAAACCTGGGAGAGGAGGGAGAAAAGGTGGGTGAACCCCTCTGAGGGACCATCAGCAGCTGAGAGTGAGGCACTGGTCTGCCAGGGCCAGATCCTCTCATACCCAACCACCGCCTGACCCATCCCACCCAAAGCCCCAGGGTGGCTCACGCCCTTTGGAGGAGCCCAGCGCCCCAGGATCACCTTGGAGTGAGTTGACGATGGTGAAGATGTAGAGGGAGATGAGGCGGAAAACACCAGAGGTGAAGGAGAAGAAGACCAGTGCCCATGGAATGCCCAGAAGGATGCTCAGCCCAAAGAGGGCTAGGACGTGCTTGAGCTTGTGACCTTTCTTGTTCTGCCGGAGGATCTCCCGGACCATGGCCCCCAGCATGACCAAGTTGAAGAGGAACACCACGCTAAAGAATCCCAGGTTCACCACGTTATGGATCAGGGGGCTCGTGAGCCAGCATCTAGAGGGAGGAGAAAGGCAGGGGGTTATGATGTGACATCCCATGGGGGCACAAGACAGAGCGTTTGGGGGGAGCATGCAGTAAAACACGGGGTGGGGATCCCCTGCCCCATCCTACACAAAGCCCCGGTAAGGTACAGCCTGTAGGCTAAGGAAAATCTATAGGATGTGGTGGAGGCTCAACCAGATGACTTTAAGACCAGGGACCAAGCGACCAGTTTCCTTTGACTTACATGGTTGCATTGGTGGACCTTCCACCAATAGATTCATAGACAGGAATGTAGAAGGGGCCGTAGTTGGTCCAATCAGCCAGGAAGATCAACATCACACAAAAGAAGGGAAGTCCTGTGTGTCAAGAACAGAATGAAGCAGCCACCCTCAACTCTGACCCATAGACGTTCTGCAAGAACTCCTTCCCCTTTTTCCTTGTATGGTGTATGAAGAACCTCCTCTCCTGGGGTGAACTGAGGATGGAGCGTGCAATGAGGACACCTGGTGTAAGCCCTGGCTGAGTAGCAGGCTTGTGATGCACAGACCCACATGGGGGTCTCACAGGGCATTGGAATTTTAGGCCACTGAAGATCATAATATTGTCCTACCATACCCTCCTTTCCAAAGCAAGGATGTGTGAACATCTCCTGCCCCAAGCCCAGCTGTACGGACAGCCCTGGGTGTCTCTGCTCTCAGACACCTGTTCCAACACATCTCCATCCCCATCCAGGCATCACATATGGTGGGAAAGACTCAGGAGCAGAATCCATGTGCCTGATCAACCCACTGCCCTGCCCCTTGGGGGTCTCTGCCTCCCCAGTCCTCACCCCAGCCCACCAGGCAGAGCTTGAGGAGGAAGTGGTCATGGTAGGCGTTGAAGACTTCGATCACAAGCCGGTAGAGGTTGTAGCCCTCGATGCCCATCCAGGTGAGGCAGCTGAGGAGGGAGAAGTGCAGGAAAAGCCCCCCGGCTCTGCAGGCTGCCTGACTGCTGCTGGAAGCCAAGTGCTCCGAGATGAGGAAGGTGAAGTCCAGGAGGAAGATGGCACCCAGCAGGTTCATGTGGATGTGCATGCTTGTGATCTGGTCTCGCTGCTTGCTCCTGGAGAAGTGAGGGGAAGAGAACTCAGCACCACACCTGGCCAGCATCCCCAGTGCCCCAAAACACCCTGCGGAGTCACACTGGCTCCTGTCTGCCAGATCTGTGACAACCACCAAGCTGATTTCCCCAGTCGTTGAAAACTGCAGGTGTTTTTGAGCACCCTGCAGGAAACCTGACCAAGGCAATTGTTTCTGGAGAGGAGCACTGTACTTTCTTTCAGCCTGGCTCCTTCACTGTGATTCTAGCTGCGCCACCCAGTGGGAAGAAAGCACCCAACCCATACCTGAAGTAGAGGAAAAAGATGGTGGAGATGGATGCCAAGGCTGAGATGAGGCAGCCTATGTACGTGATGATGCTCAGGGAGTCCCTGTGTAGGTAGGAAATCTCTGGAGAGGATACCTGGGGAGAAAGAGGAATGAGAAACAGTAAGGAAAGAGTGGGAAGGATGGAGGGAGCTGAGGGAAGGTGGTACCCACCATCAGCACGGCAAAGTAGGTGAGGTGGTTGCATCTGCAGTCTGTCCGTATGTCCCCCTCCACTGTCGTGCAACCGTAGCTGTCCCAGTTCCCAGAGCTGGCTGCAAGAGAAAGAGAGCAGCAGGAACAGCAGTTTTGGGATTTTGGAGCTTCCAAAGCATCCATAGCAGTGAGGAGGACAGAGGTTGGGATCCTCCCATCATGGGGAGGGTTTATGGAGCTGGAACAAGGCAGGGAGGTGCAGAACAGCACATCTTTGGTACCTAGCTGAAGGATCATCTGCACTTCACACCCAACCTGAGATACACTCACCGGTGCCATCCTCCCTCCAGAAGACACACCGTGGGGTCACGTTCCTCTGAAATGACAAAACCACAGATGCTCGGGTGCTGTGCAGGGCTCTGGGCTCACAGCCTGGGGAGAAGGTTTGGTAGGGGCAACATCGGGCAGGAGGTGAGATGGCTGCAGGGGACAGACAGGCCTGTGTGGGCTTAAGGTAGAGACTCCCCAGGCCCCGTCTTTAAACAAGGGGTTCAGCTTTGATCAGCTGAATGAATGAGCAGAGGAACTGCTAGACAGTGTCCCCAGTCCTGGAGATTGTGCATGTGGTGAAGGCCCAGAAGATGCCACAGGTTGTACAGAAAGACTGAGGACATGGACCCACTGGGTGGCGATCACTCTTCAATCTAACAGTCTCCTTGCCCTCACTCTCTATTCTCGGAGGGATTGGGTGCAATGAGGCTCTTTCCCCACCTACCGGCAGCCGGTTGTGGAAGAAAGTGAGGACCACTGGCTCAGAGAGGTTGGCCACCACCGTGTCCACCAAGGAGATGCCAACCACCTTGTCACCAAGGATGTGGCTGCTGTTCTCATCCTGCAGGAGAAGGAAGTGGTAACACCACAGGAAGAGAGAGGTCCCAGAGAGGAGGTCCTGTGCCTCTCCTTTGTGCTGTAGTTAATCTTTGGAGCACCTAACATCTCTGAAGCAGGGACGGATGGAGGGACACCCATCATGCCACATGGTGTGGGCATTACCTGGAACATGGCTTGGCTGTTGATGTCCACCAGGAGCACCCTGTGCTCCATCACCTCCTCCTTCTTCTTTGCCATCACAAATAGGCTCCTTGGCAGGTCCACGGCAAACCCCTGCACCTCTTTGCTCTCCTGCAAGGCCAGAGATGGAGCTTGGGTGGAAGCTACCACGTTGCTTTGAGCCCTTCAGGGGCAATGGGGATGAGTGGGGTGCCTAGCCCCAGGGTAACACAGACCCACCTCTTTTGGGGAAGCGAAGGCCAGGTGGCGAGGAGCCTGTGTGGGGCTGATGCTCAGCACAGTCGCACGCAGGGCAGCCTTCCCAAAGGTCTGGTTCCATCCTTCAAGCTCCACTTGTGCCAGCGTCCTCTCCAAGGCCCCGAGTTTGCTGTAGAAAATAGGGCGCAGTGAGTGGGGCCAGTAAAACAGCTGGCATGGCTCAGTGAATGCCCCGTGCCCCACACTCACTGCCGAAGAGAGCGCTGCGCCTTGGAGCCCGCAGATGGCACCCGTGCGAGGAGACCATCCAGGGCAGCAAGCTCATCCTCCACGTCCTGCTTCCAGACAGGCATCATCTCTGGAGGGACTGGTGGCACAAACAGAGGATGGCATCAGGACAACTGGCAGCACCAGCTTCCCCCTGCCCGCAGCCCTGGCGTGACCCCAAGCAAAGGGCTTTGGTGTGACCCTACAAAGATCCCAACCCATGGGGCTCCTCCAGGTGCCTGCAGCTTGGTGCTCCTTGCAGAGCTTCCTGGGATTTTATTGGGCTGAAGCACTTTTGGAAATCTCTTTCTTCATCTTTGGGGAGCTGCTTGCCCTTGGATGCCATGGGCTGCTTGAGCCAGTTGCCCTTCCCATCGCCCCTTAGCATGGTCCTGATACCATCGCACTACACCTGTGCTCCCAGCACTGGGGATGGAATTAACCCATATCTCATTGAAATAACTCTGAATTGTCTTTACCGGGGAAAAGATATTCAGATGCACTCTCAAGGGAGGTGTTCTTCTGGCCCTTGAAGACATAGGACACATTGAAGATGGAGGCCTTGGTCTTCTCCGAGCCCCGTGTGACGCCGCCATCAGCTGGCTCATGGCCCAGGAAGAAGCTCTTCTTGCCATATGCCAACCAGAGGGTCCTGTTGGCCTTGAACCAGTAGACGCAGAAGCGATACCTGCCCAAGGTGGTTGGCAGGCTGTACTGGTAGGAAGAGTTTGTCCTGTTTGCCAAAAAGGGACTTCTTATCACCAGTGCCTGGGCCATGTTCTCAATGGAGATGTTGGCAGAGCTGTGCTCGTAGATGACGGAGCTGTTCTGGGTCTGGTTCCTGTCACCACAGAAGCGGAAATCCTCCTGGCGGCCGCTCGCCCCCACCCCTGCATTGCATAAGGACAGAGAGACACTGCTCAGCATGGGGACAGCCACCCCAAGCCCACCCCGCCCACAGTCACAGCATAGGGTTCAGCAGTGTGCTGGGCTCCTTTCCTCCCCATTGACAGGCAGAACTCTGCAGATGGATGGAGACTCGCTCCTTTCTCCAGGTTCCCATTTTGGAGACCCAAACCCAGGAGGTATTTCACCCATCGGTGCCCTCAACCATTGTGTTTTGGGGCTGCCAGAATGTGGCAGGATGCTGCCTACCTTGGAGCGGGGGGAGAAGCAACAGGAGGAGGACTTTCATCGTGGCTGGCTCTCAGTCTGGGTTCTGCCTCCCAGGAGCAAAACGAGCCTGTAGAGTCACATAGAAAAGAGGCACAGGGTCAGGGGATGGGGAGCCAAGGTGGGACAGCAGCTGGGGGCACAGTCAGCTCTGGGTGCCACCGCCACCAGGAGGAGTGAGCACCCTGATGGCCCCATAGGGTGGGGAGGGATGCAGGGGCCGGGGGGCTCCTCCTGCCCAATGTCTCATATCTCGGTTCCTGCCTTGGCTTCTTTCAGCAGGTGATAAGAACAGAAGGAAACAGCAGTTTCCTAACTCCCTGAGCCTAGAATTATTTTCACTGGTGCTTACAGCAAGGAGCTGATCGTGTCACACACCGCAGCGGGACTCTGTCCCCCCTCTGCCACCTCCCCCCATCCCCGCTGCGCCTCGGCTGTCTGCATTTCCCACGCTCTCGGTACCACTTTTTGTAAGAGCCCCCCCAGCCCCCAGCAGCAGCCAGGACTGCACCAGTGAGGGCTTCACTGGGACACAAAGCCGGCCAGGTACGCAGAGAGCTGCTGCTGTGCAAAGCGGAGCTGCAGCAACATTTGTTCCCACAGGCAGCGCTGGCCACGAATCTATGCTGCACGGCTGGGGCTCTGACCACTGCCGTGATGCTGGACACGAGTGGTGTGCTGACGGCGTCCTGGGTGCGTGCGAATGATAAAAATAAAAAAGAAAGGCTCTTCTGTGGCTTAAAGTCCTTCTGTAGCTCAGCACGCTGCCATGGGCACAATGGTCCCACTGAGGTCCCCGGTGTGGGTATGGCACGGGCACGGTTTGGGAGGGATCGTCCCTTTGAGCTGTTCCTGAGCCCAACCAGACCCAGAAATCGAAAGCCCAACCAGGACCCAGTGGAGGTAAGCAGCGATGTTTCCTTGCTCGCCCGACCCGCCTGATTGCCGCTTCCTGAGCTGAACAATGGCGAGAGAAAATCTCCCGACACAGAGGGGAGAAAACTGACACAACCCACAAAAGGCACTGCCCGTTCTCCTCCGCATCCAGGGGGCAGTGGGGATGCAGAGCATTGCCACCCCCACGTTCCTGGGGGCAGCAGGGACGAGGAGCATTGGGGTACCCAGGTACCCAGGGGTGGCGATGCTCCCATTCCCAGGAATCCCTCTTTGACAGCCACAGCAAGGGGACAGAAAGGCTTTCGCCAACCCTAAACTCAAAAGCTCCCCAGGAACATATAGAAAAGCTGCCGTTCTGCCCCACACTGGAGGTGGGGGGGGTTTGGAGCAGCCTCCTGTTGGCCCAAGGCACACTTTTTCCCAAAGGCTCAGCCCCTGGCGTGGGGACGTTACACCGTGTTCTCTCAGCACCATTAAATGAATGCGCTCATCGGAAAGGGAAGCCGAGGAATAACACTGTGACCTCTAAAGCTGGAAAAAACAAGAGCCCGGTGAGAAACCTTCCTGCTCTCTGGGTGACTGGGCACCAGGCATTCGATCGAGATGGCGATGGCAGGCGGGCTTTGCATGATGTTTTCCCAAAAAAGGAAAGATGCGCTCACGTCTCCAACAAGCACTGGAAACGTGCTGATGAGGAGACTTTTGTTGGCTTTGCTTCTTAGTGCTCCTTAGCACTACAGAGATGCTAATGGGGGGCACAGCTCTTTGCCCACAGCCCGTCACCTATGAGGCAGGAGGTACGGTTTGGGGGGGGTGGGTAGGGAAACTGAGGCACGGAGACATGGCCTGGAGTGGACCCATGCACGGGGAGTGGGTCTGCCTTCACAATGCACCCTTGTCCTTGGCCTGCAGCCCATGGGCAGCCCACACATTGCTCACGGCATCGGCACGTCAGCCCCTTCCCGTCACCAGCGGGCGTCACATGGGGCCACGGGTCACCACAGCCCCAAAACACAGTGAGCATCTTCAGAACCCAAATCGATCAGTGCAGGAGGGGCAGTGCTGGTGTGAAGGGTGGGACTTACAGTTTCTCAACCACAAAAAAAAAGGGGGTGAACACAATGCAAGGCACACCCCAATGTGGATGAGTGCAAAAAGCCGCTCTGCTCCCTGCCTCGCCAAAGCCTCTCAGCTCCCTGCTGCAGAGCCAGGTACCAGGGCTGCATAGCAGAGCCCCGCTCCCTGCCAAGGCCCAGCTGTCTGCGAGCTGATGGGAAAGGAGTTGGCGGCTCGGCACCGGCCAGCTGGCACACAGCAGCTCCACCACATCCCTGCAACACCCGTGGGTGACCCCAGAAAGGTGCGCAGTGCTCAGCCCCGGGGTGCCGTGTCCCAGCAGCATGCAGTTGTTTGTGAACCTGTTGCTCTACGAATAGCACCAGGGGCGGGCTGTGGGATTAAGAGCTGGATGGTGACCAACTATGTGGCGTTTATAGGGTCGGGGCTTCATTCCCATGAGAGTGGCAAACCCACTGCGGGGCGACACTGTGCTGATGGGATTGCCCAAAGCCTGGTTTGTGCCCCAAATCCGAGCATCCCAAAGCCCCCCTGGCTCCCTGCTGTTGGTAGCAGGCTTCTGTGCCCACCAGACCGTGAAATCCACGTTGGCTGGCAGCCCTGCCCGCAGCCATGCTGCCGTGGGGTTATTCCAGGAGATTTCATTCTGCTTTCCCACTGCTGCTCTGTGCCCCATCCCTTGTGGAGCACCGGGAGCAGCGTGCCAGGACCGGCAGCAGCAGGCGCACGGCTGCAGGAGGAATCCCCCGGCGGGCATCGGGGTGGGAGAGCACTCTGTTGAGACACGCCGGCTCCTCCGAGCCTGCACGGAGCGGGGTGTGATCCTGGGCTCCCGGGTTGGGGAGCCACACACATCGGGTGCCATGGCACGGAATGAAACGGTGTGGAACAGCACAGAATGGAGTGGCGTGGAGTGGAGTGGTGTAGAATGGAACAGCATAGCATGGCATAGAACGGCATGGCATAGCGTGGAAGAGCATAAAATGGCACGGCACGGCACGGCAGAGCGGTGCGGCCTTGGCAGGGCTCAGCTGTGCCGAGGCAGCAGCCGCAAGCAGCTGCCCCGCGAGGCGGCTTCACGGCCCTGGAATCCAGCCCGGCTGCGGGTACGGAGCCCGATTTAGAGAGGAAAAGGGGGAATAGCCAGTAGGGACGGAGGCTGCGTGCAGGAAGACCCCGGGGAGCCCCATTCCCTGCACGGACAGAGGCGTTACACCTTGCGCTGAGCCACAAAGCAATAGGCACGGAACTCCCGCACCGCGCCCGCTGCCGGGGGCCGAATCCCTGCTGCAGAGCCCGCAGCATCCCCCCGCTCCCCAGGCATCGCGCAGCCCCGGCCTCACCTCCGCACCCCCACCGCCGCTACCTGTACCCGGCTACCTGTGCCGGGGTCGGGCGGGGCGCGCCGTCCCTTCGCCGCTCGGCGCTGCTCGGTTCGACGGCGCTCTGTGCTCGGCTCGGCACTCCCCCCGCCCCGCCTCCGCTCCCACCCCACCCCCGGGGCAGGCGGTGACTCAGCGGGGGTGGGAGGCTGCCGATACCCCTCTGTTGCGGCACCTGCTCGTGCGATAGAGCCGGGCTTGGTGGGGAGGGCGGGCGGTATCGCCCCTTCGGGCCGGGGATCGGCAGAGGGACGGCGGTGGGGCGGGGGGGGGCACCCCCGGGAACTGGAGCTGGCGGGCGGCCAGGGAAGGAAAGGAATTGTACGGCTGCCAGGCTGCGCGCCCGGCTGGGAAAGGGATTAAAGAATAACAGCCGATGTGAGAGCGGCCGGGACGCGGCGTCCTAAGAAGCGTGTCCTGCTTTGGGGCAGGAAACGAGGGTGCGGGCATTGGGTCCTGAGCACGGTGCTCCCTGTGCCCTGCACCCCCTGAGATGTGGGGTCCGGGACGGAGCCCTGAGCCCCGACGGCAGCGCGGTGCGTGCAGAGCTAAGGGAGCGTGGCCAGGTTCCAGCCCAGGCAGCCTTTTGTGTGCGCTGAAAAGGGAGAGCCGGGCTCCAAGGAGATGGCGGGGAGGTGGCCAGGAAGCGTAAATACGCAGCCTCTCACGGATATTCCCAAAGGATTGAATGGGACTTTTCTTCCTTTTCATGCTGCTGGGGGAAGGGCGGACGCGGCGGCACGGGGACAAAAGGCAGCCAACAAACCCAAGGTGCCATGGCCACACCGGGAACAAGGATGGGAACGGGATGGGAATGGAATGAGGATGGCGCTTGCTGTGCCTTGGAGGGTCCCAGCCCAGCACCTCGTGCTCTGCTCACATCACCCATGAGCTGTGGCCCCTTTGTTCAGCTCTCCCAGGGCAAGCACACGCTGCATCACGCGGCCACACCGCAACCAGCACGGCTCCTTTCAGGGCAGCCATCTCCTTGCACCCGCATCTCCCCGGCCCCACTCCTCTCTCCCTGCTCCCATCCCCTGGTGCAGGATGCAGCCCCCTGTGCTGACCCCCCTGCCCCAGGGTCATAGCTCCTATAGGGAAATGACACCTCTGGCCGTCCCCTTGCTGCTGTCCAGGGAACAAAAAGGCTTCTGTCCACACTAGGGCATTATCAGGAGGTTGGTAGAGTTATTTTTGGGCTGATGTCTGCACTTGTTGATGTTATCGGATGATGTGGAAGTCAGCAGGGCTCGCTGCTGCCTTCAGAGATTCCCGTTGAGCACTGGGGGAGGAAATCCTCACGTTGTCCCTGCGGGGAAAATTTGCCCTTGGGCTCCGGCCAGCAGCACTCCCTGGACCTGATAAGAATTTACAGCTCGAGCTGGGCAGTTTGAGTCTTGGGAACCTCTGTAGATGGAGACCCCGTGGATTCCACCCCATGCCCAGAGGCACTGCATGGGGCCAAGCTCTGGGCAGGTCCGAGTCCCCAGCCCTGCGGAACCTCTGTGTGCACCCCAGGCTGCAAACCTGCATCCTCATCCCAGCCACTGCCCAGCCTGGTGATCCCAACACAACCTGGGAGCTGAATGCTTGCGTGCTGAGAAAATACACCCGATAAGGCTGTGGGAAAGATAAATAGGGCTTGCTCTCCTTGAGGAGGTGAGACAGGCTGAGCTTTGATTCCTGTTGCCATCCAGCACAGCATGGGGACGGCTGACGGCTGGGTGCCCTCTGGGCTCCAGGCACCTCGGGATGTGCCATACTGCACCGTGGCCCTGCAGCCCCAGGGCAGCCATGCAGGGAGGCTATGGTGAGGGTATGGTGAGGGTTTTCCAGGCACTGCTGGATACAGGAACAGGCGTAGGAAATGCACCGGTGTCAGTGCAGACGCAGCCACTGGCACAGTCATGATTCATGCCTGGGGTGCGTGGCCAGGAAGGTGATGCTCATTGATGCTCACCATGGGGTTTGCTTGCTGCCCGCCAGCTCTTGGCATCCCACCAAGCTTTGTCAAGTCCCAAATGATGACAAAGTGCTGAGCCATGCCCAGCTCATCGCCTCGGAGCCGCAGCAGGACGGCTTTTGTCCTCGATGCGAGCGGGAGCGGGACGGGTGGAAACTCAGCGGCAAATTTCCTTTGTGCATAGAACAAAGCACAAGGGCGAGCGGCTTCCTTCGCTCTGTTCCCAGAAATAGGTCCCAGAAAAAGCAGCCAGAAAGGGAAAAACACTCAGCGGAGTGGTATGGGAAGAGCTGGAGCTGTGCCACCGTGCCCTGCATGGGGACAGGAGGACCCCACAATGTGATACCTGCCCCCACAGCCCGGCTCCAAAGTCCTGGGTGCAGAGAGGCAAACTGGGGCCGGTTTGGGCTGCCACTTTGCCATCACCATCTGCAGCCACGTTTCCTGCCCCCACAGTTTTTCCTAGCTGTAAGTCTGCTGCAGGCTGGGCTGCTGGAACTCCACTAAGGGTGATGGGGTGGGGCCGGACTTAGAGGTCTCTTCCACCTTTAATGATTCTGCGATTCTATTTAGGGACAGGGTTAAGGGATGGGTCAGCGGTTGGATTCGGCGATCCTATAGGTTCTCTTCCAACCTTAGCGGCTATGATTCTACCAAAAGCTTGTTCGTACCGGAGAGCTCTGCTCCGCCTTTGCTTTTGTATGGGAGGAAAACCCGTTTCCCATCGACCACGCTCCAGCCCATTGTCCTGGTGCCCTCTGGCGGCTCCTCGCCGCCTCCATCACCGGACGCCACTTTAATTAACGCTAAATACCGAGGCCAATCCCGCAGCCCCGCTATCTGGAGGTACTGCAGTCGGATGTGCTGCGCTTGCTGCGATGCGTGCTGAGGTACCAAAGGCAGAGGAACAAACCTGGGGGGTGACACAGTTAATGCCATGGGCACCCTCAGTGCCACGCTGGGAGGACGAGGGAATCCCCCTTCTCCCCCCAAAATCCCACCCGGGTGCTGACCTTGCAGGGAGTTGAGGATGGTGAAGATATAGAGCTGGGGCACGAGGAGCACTCCAAAGGCACAGAAGGCTGTGCCCCAGGTGGTGCCGAGCAGGCAGGTGAGCCCCAGCACCGTCACCCAGTCCCTCCTCGCCCTCCGCTGCTGCTGCCGCATCTTCCACAGCACCACCACCACGGCCACCAGCACCAGCACGTTGAACAGCAGGATGAGGCCAGCGTAGCACAGGGTCATGTAGTGGGCAGGCAGGCTGGTGAGCCAGCACCTGGTGGGGATGGGGGACAGCTGTGTCCTAACTCTGGTCAGCCTGGGGTGCACGGGGTACATGGAGTCTTTGGGGGTGCACGGCTAACCCAAAGTGCATAGGTGCATGGAGAACCCAGGGTGAATGAGGAGCAAGGGGTTTCTAAAGTCCCTGAGGTGGATGGGGAACTTGGGAAGCCAGAGGTTCCTGGGAGCACGTGGGAAACTCAGGTTGCATGGGATTTCTGGAATCCCTGGGGGTGGATGGCTAACCCAAAGTGCACAGAGAACCCTGGGTGCATGGGGTACATGGGAACCCTGAGGTTTCTGGAATCCATGGGAGCACATGGGCAAGCCAAAGTGCATGGGATGGATAGGTAACCCCTAGTGCATAGGATGCACATGGCCTTTGGGGGTGCATGGGGAGCCCAGGGTGCGTGGGGAACTTAAGATGTATGGAGAAACTCAAGGTTCATGGGGTGCATGGGAGTGCATGGGTAACCCAAAGTGCATGGGGTGCATGGGGTGCTCCTTGGGGAGCCCAGAGTACACGGTGTGCCTGGGGAGCCAGCAGCCCCCACACTCACATGGTCACGTTCTTGTAACCATCAGCAGTGCTGATGATGTGGCGCCCGTAGATTTCTTTCTTGAAGATGAGAACAGCCACCACGACCAGCATGGGCAGACCTGGGGGCCAGGGAGAGGCCATGTAAGGCTGTGCAAGGGCAGCGGGGCAGTGGGAGCCCACGGGGGCACTCACCCCAGGTGCAGAGGCAGAGCTTGAGGAGGTAGTGCCGCACGTAGATGTTGTAGACCTTGATGAGGAGGAAGTAGAGGTGGAAGCCCTCAGCCCACATCCACCCTAGGGCACAGAGCAGGCTGCCATGCAGCAGGGCAGCCGCAGCCTGACACCCTTCCTTGGTGCCTGCAGCCAGCGGCTCACTCAGCAAGAAGCTGATATTGAGCAGGAGCAGTGCAGCCAGCAGGTTCATGTGGATCCTGGTCGTGTCGTCCTGCGGCTGGCATCTGCAGGAGGGAAGAAGGCACGGGGTGCAGAGGATGCCCACCAGGCAGCACAACACGGCGTTGTGCTTGGCATGGCACGGCATGGCACAGCACAAGGAGTGGTGCGGCACAGTGGGCAGTGTGGCATGGTGTCATGCAGCACTGCACATGGCATAGCACACAACATATGGCATGACATAGTGTGGCACAGCATGGCACATGGCGTGGCACAGCTCTACCTGAAGACACAGCAGAGCAGCAGAGTGCAGAAGGCAGCAGCAGCCGAGATGGAGCAGCCCACGGTGCTGATGTAGGTGAGAGATTGCAGCTCAGACTCGCTCAGGTTGTGTGCCTGGATCTGTCCAGAGAGGTGCACATGGGGTGAGCCACGGGGAGTCCTACGTGGTGGGAGGAGGAAGGGCAGGAGCCACGCACCAGCAGCACAGCAAAGTAGGTGAGGTGGTTGCAGTGGCAGCGCACGATGCCCTTTTGGTGCTGTGTCTCGCAGCCCTCCGTGCTCCATGTGCCAGCACTGCCCGCGCCTGCAGGCTGCCAGAAGACACAGGTAGCATTGGAGCTGTCCTGGTGGGAAGGAGGATGGAGGAAGTGAGATGTCCAGTCTGTTCCCTGGAAACCCCACATCTCACCATGATGGAGCTCAGCTCACCAGCTCCTCGTTGTGCCTGAAGTGGATCTCCACAGGGCGCTGCAGCCGACCCACCCGCCTGTTGTGCAGGAAGGCCCCCAGGATGTGGTCGTTCAGCACAGAGCTGTTGTGCTCATCCTGTAAGAGGCAGAGCAAGACGCCCTATGGGGCCCCACCGCAGCCCCATAGTGTATCTACACGGGGCTGCTCAAGGGGGGCTCGGCTCTCCCCAGGCACCGTCGTTGCCGGCACTCACCAGGAACAGGCTGGCACTGTGGATGTTGATACAGACAAGCTTCTGCTTCTCCTGTGCTCCCATGCCCTTCATCAGCTCCACTGGGAAGTTGATGCCGCCCTGGAGCCATGCTGACGCCTGCTCTTTGCTCTGCATTGGCTATGGGGGCAGAGGAGGGGTCACACTTTCGTGGGCACCCCCTGAGCATCCCCAACCCCAGGTGCTGAGCAGGGTCCTGGCTCCAGCACTAGCTGCATTTTGCAAAGAGGAGAACTGGGCTGGGGAGAGAGAAGCTCAGGGCAGGGAAGTATAGTCTCAGCAGTGCAGGAAGTGCTGTGGAGCTGCCTTGGGACCCTCTGTGCTGTGAGGGGAAGTGGCCTCAACACATCCTGCACCAGGAGGTTATGGGTAGAGGCTGATGCAGGAGCACTGCATGGGAAGGACACAGTGGTACCCACCATGTTGCTGCTAACATTGAGCCCTCGGAAGCTGCCGGCCATGATGTTGAACACAAAAGCCTCCAGCATGTTGGTTTTGAAGCTGTATTCCTCCTTGCCAAGCGTGCTGTTGGCCAGCACCTGCTCCAGCTCTGTTAACCTGCTAGGGGAATGGGGCTGGTGGGATGTGAGGGAGTGGGGGGGACGGGGGGGGATGGGGCTGCACTCACCTGGCCCAGTTGTGCTGAGAGCTGCCCTGTTTCAGCCTCTCTGACAGGTTATACATGCAGCTCTGGATGTACTCGGTGTCTGCAAGGGGGGTTCTGAGAGATGAGCCCTGACCGCAGTACCTGCCCAGCTTCCATCCCCACTGCCCCCAGCCCAGCCCCACCCCCACCAGCAGCACAGGGGCACAGGGATGTATTCTCACCCTGTTTGGGCAGGACAGGCGCAGCGAGGCAGAGGACGAGAGCAGTGAGCAGCAGGGTGGGCATCTCCACGATCCTGCAAAAGGCACCCAGCCCCACACACACCCAGTCACAGCCCCGGGGCCACGCCTGGGGCACTGTGGATGGGGCTACAGCCACCACAGCTGCCTGCCATGCAAATCCTGTGGCATCCGGGTGCTGGCACCAACCCGGTCCCGAACTGCCCAGGAGGAAGCAGTCCCGGCACAGGGGTGGAGGGCACCGAACAGATTTGCATCCTTTGCAGTGCCACCCCGACCCCAAAAGCAGCGGCTCACCCACCACACCCACCAGTAGGGGCACCAGCCCTCCCAGCACTCAGCATCGCTGCGTGGCCCCCGCTCAGAGGCAACCCCTGAGTCCCCTCCTGCCCCACAGAACCCCGTGGCCATCCGGGGAGCCCCTACCTGCCGGGCCAGCAGGAGCCGGGCAGTGCTGTGTTGTGTCAGGAGCTGCCGTGATGCTGTGGGGGTGGCTCTGAGTGCACTGTGGGTCCGTGCAGCAGAAAGGGAAGTGTTCGTATGCAGATAAGCAAATGAAAGCAATGGAACTTTCGGAGTCGGGCTCTTTCATGCAGCCCTGCACAGGATGGGTTGGTTGGGGCTCGGCTGCACCGCTGCCACTCCGGCCTCTCTCTGACCCACCCCAGAGCCCTTTTGGCCTGGGTTTAGTGGGGGGCTTCCAGGCATTACCCATTTTGGGACAGGCTGTGACTGCAGACCCCACAACACCACCACCGTGGGCCCTTGGCACCCCCGAGCTGCTCCCAGCAAAGTGACCAGCAAAGAAACACCCAGATCTGCAGAAGAGAACCACCAAAATTTTTCACTCCCAGCAGCCGTTTCCCCTAACAGCCCTTTCAGCGTTGGGTTCTTCACTGAACTTCTGCTCCCCACTAAAACCCAGAAGCTCACATCCGACGCCGCAAAAACACATTGACAACCCCAGCAACAGCAGCATTCCCAGACCCGTTTTAGTGCCAGCAGGGCTGCTCCTCCGTACTGCCTGCAAAATCGTTCTGCTCCGAGGGAAGGAGAGGGGGAGAGCCCCTTCCCTGGCGCCGGGTGGTTCTTTCCAATGGAAAAACACCGGGGTTGGAGGGAAGGGGCCGGGACGTGCGCAGGCAGAGCCGTGCTGTTGGGAATCGAAGCTCACCGCTCGCCCCACGCTGGGTGCCAGCATCGCCCGTGGGAAATGGGTGAGCGGGGATGCTTGGGGTTCAGAGCTGTTGGCTGGAAACCTTCCAGCTAAGTGGGAAATACCCGGGGAAAACATCCCCGGGAAAACGTGCAGGAGAATGGAGTTTTGGCGGCCCACATCCCGTGGATGGTGGGACCGCGAAATGCAGCACCGTGTGCCACGGGGAGGGCAGGAATCCACCGGGGAGGTGAAAACCCCCACGGCAGAGCAGGGGGATGAGGAGCCATCGCCCCAAAGCCCGCAGTGATGGACGTGGGGCTGCAGGCAGGGCTCGGTGAGAGCTGCTCCTCGATCCCTGAGTCCCGGCAGCGCTCAGACCCGGGAGCGAAGCGAGCGGGGCCACGGGCGGGGGGGAGCGGGGGGAACGCGCGTGGGACCCCCGGGGGCAGCCAACGGCGCTTCGGGCAGCGCCCGCCCCGGGCCGGGGGGCGGGGAGCGGCGGGAGGAGGAGGAGGAGGCGGCGGGAGGAGGAGCGCGTTCCGCCGGCAGCGCCCCGGCCCGCACCGCACCGCACCGCACCGCACCGGATCCGGTGAGCGGAAGGCGGCGGGAGGCGGCGGGCGGGGCGGCACCGGGCGGGGCGGGCAACTTGCGGGGAACTTCGGCGGGACGGGGGCGGGACGGGACGGGGCAGAACGGGATGAGCCGGGCCGAGCCGCACCGGGCAGCGCCGCACCGAGGAGGACCGCGCCGCACCGCACCGCGCCGCGCCGCACCGGGCACAGCCGCACCGCACCGCCGCGGGGGGAGCGGAGGAATGCGGCGGTCCCGCGGGTGCGGCGCGTCACGGCGGAGTGGCAGCGGCCGCAGCCAATGGGGCCGCGCGGGGGGCGGGCGGCTTTCGGAGGGGGTCCCGCGTGGGCCGCGCGTGTTCCGGCCGCGGGTGGGCTGTGCGTGCGGAGCGCGGGACGTGGCACCGCCATGGCGCTCCGTTCGCGCACGCGTCCTCCCGCCCGCGGCGCCCCGTCCCGCAGCGGGGGCTGCGCGGGGTCCCCCCGCCCCGCGTGGGCAGCGCGCTGTGGGGCCGCGGGCTGCGGGCGGGCGGCTCCGGCCCTGTACTTATCCCATTAGGGAGCGCTGCAGCCTCCCATTGAGGTTTCCTGGCGCGGTTTCCCGTTTTGGCAGAGCGCTGCCCGGCTCAGCTGCGGCGGCTCGTCGGGGCCGCTCTGTGCCCCGCGTGTGGGGTGAGGAGGGGTGGGAAGGGGGCGGCTGGGGGTCGGCGTGCAGGTGGCTGTACCCGCTCTGAGCCACTGAGCGGTTGCATTGGAGGGGAGCTTGCAGCCTGTTGAGCTCCAAGCCGTGCCGCAGGCTGCCTGCCCCCCAGCCCATCCGTGTCACCTCCAGGATGGGCAGCCACAGCTCTGGGCAGCGGTGCCAGCGTCTCATCACCGTCTGAGGGAAGGGTTTCCTTCTCCTATCTACCCAACGCCTCCCCTCTGTTAGTTTAAAGCCACCCCCTTGTCCTGTCGCTATCATCTCATGCAGCAAGTCTCTCCCTGCTGCTTGTGAGCTCCCTTAGAGCAATGCGGTGCTGCACGCAGTCCCTCCGAGCTTCTCTTCTCCCCATAGAGCCGTGCTCCGGACCCTTCACAGCTTCACCCTATGGACCGTACCCCCTCTGACACCTCCTCTCTCCCGCAGGCCCCCAAGGCTTGCTGCACACCCCGATGCTGACACCGAAGGCGATGCTGCAGCCCTAGGAAAGCGGCCATGAGCCAGAGCGGTGCCCCACGCCTGGCCGGTTCCCCGCAGCTGCATGGCGGCTCGCTGCTGGCCCTGCTGGGCCCCGAGCGGGGCGGTGGGAGCGAGCCGGGCCCCACTCCTTCCCCTCCATCCCCCCCCAGCGGGACGCCGTCACCGGGACCCCCCCCGGCCCTGCTGGAGGCCGACTGGGAGGGCCGCGAGGAGCTGCGGCTGCGGGAGCTGGAGGAGGCGCGGGCGCGGGCGGCCCAGATGGAGAAGACGATGCGCTGGTGGTCGGATTGCACGGCCAACTGGAGGGAGAAATGGAGCAAAGTGAGGGCAGAACGGAACCGGGCCCGAGAGGAGGTGCGGCAGCTGCGGCATCGCCTGGAGGCGCTCACCAAGGAGCTGGCCGGGCTGCGGAGAGAGCGCCAGGAGGGGCTGCAGGAGCGGCAGCAGCTGGGCCGGCAGCTGGCACGGCTCCGCGGCCATGAGGGTGGCACCGAGGGTGATGGCGATGGTGATGGCGAGGCCGCCCCTGAGAGTGAGCCTGTGCGGGATGTGGGGGCTGAAACACCTCCTAAAGCCAAGGTGAGGGGGTTGGGAGCGGGGCTGGGGGTGTTTGTGTGCTTGTTGGGGTGATGGAGACACAATGGGTGGCAGTGGGGGGTGAGGCTGCTCAGGAAGGGCTGGCTGGGAAGACCAGGAGGGAGTGTTGCCCTCTATGGGACAGAGCAGCTGCAGCACATGGAGCTCTGCTTGGGAATTTCTGGACTTAAAGACATTGTGATGGTTGGGAGAGACCTCTCAGATCCCCAAGCCCAGTCTACCCCACCGTGCCCACTGACTGCATCCCTCAGTGCCACATCCCCACGGCTTTGGGGTCAGTGACGCCCCCCACCTCCCTGGGTGGCTGTGCCAATATGAGAGGTCAGCCATGGGTGACCTTGTGGAGGGTGTCAGCTACCAGCAGGAGCAGCATCACATTCTCAGGTTCTCATCCTCATGGTAGCCTTTGGTCTGGAGCACCACTCCAACAGGAAAAAGCTGAGAGAGCTGGGACTGGTCAGCCTGGAGAAGGCTCTAGGGGAATCTCGTTTGTGTTTATAAGTACCCGTGTGTGCAGTGAGGAATCAGGGAGGTCTGGGAACACTATGGGGCTGGAACAGGGGATGCTACTGGTTATCACCCACCACAACAGCACCCTCCCTGGGGGCAGCCGTGCTTCCCGCTTGTGACCCCTTCCTCCCCATGCTGCAACTGCAGGAGCTGGAGCTGATGGAGAACATCCTGAAGGGCAAACAGGAGGGCACCGACAGCTGGGAGCAGCGCAGCACTGCGGGCACCCGGAGCTCCTTCTCGCGCCAGGAGCGGAGCCGGCTGCTCTGGGAGGACGTCAGCGTCGTTGAGGAAGATGCCTCCAAAATCACCGCCCTGAAGCTGAGGCTGGATGAGTCTCAGAAAGTGCTGCTCAAAGAGAGGGAGTGAGTGCTTCGTGCTGCAGACTGGTCAGGTGCCACCCGGCCTGGCTGGTGGCTTTCCCACCCCAGGAGGGGATACCAGGAGGCTCTGCCAGCTCTCACCAGGGCTGCCTCTCCGCAGGGACAAGCTGGCACTCAGCAAGAGCATCGAGAAGCTGGAAGGCGAACTGAGCCAGTGGAAGATCAAGTATGAGGAGCTCAACAAGAACAAGCAGGAGGTGATGAAACAGGTGAGCAAGGCGTCCAGGAACCTCCAGGGGGTGACACGTTCCTGGGTTAGTGCCACTGATCAGCCACAACTGGTCCTTACCTGGAAGCATGGAGACTCCAGGCACTGGTAGAGCTGGTGGATGTGGTGTGGTCACAGGGCTGCGTCCCTCCAGCCTGAGGGGGACCGTGGGGACAGCTCGAGTGGTGGTGGTTGGGTGCTCACTGCCCGTCTCTATCTCCCTGCAGCTGAACATCCTCAAGGAGATCCACCAGGACGAGCTGGGACGCATCTCAGAGGACCTGGAGGACGAGCTGGGTGCTCGCTCCAGCATGGACAAGAAACTGGCAGAGCTGCGCATGGAGGTGAGGCCGGGCAGTGGGGGGCATCCCATAGGGAAAGGGAGGGCACAGAGGAGCAGGAGGAGCCTGCTGTTACCCTGCATCTCCTGCCCAGATGGAGCGGCTGCAGGCGGAGAATGCAGCCGAGTGGGGCCGAAGGGAGCGGCTGGAGACGGAGAAGCTCAACCTGGAGCGGGAGAACAAGAAGCTGCGGGCGCAGATCGAGGACCTGGAGGAGGTGCTGGCTCGTAAACGGCGTCAGACGGCCAGCGCCCTGGACACCGACCTCAAAACCATCCAGGCTGAGCTGTTTGAGAAGAACAAGGTGTGAGGGGTGATCCCGTCCCACGCCATCTCAGCCCAGTGCCACCTCCTCCAGGGAGCCCTGGGTCACTGCGTGCCCCGTGTTGCTGTAACAGCGTCCTCCAGGACCTCCTCCATCCCAAACTCTGCCCTCACCTTGTGTTCAAGAAACGTGGAAAGGTGGCACTTAGGGACAAGGTTTAGTGGGGACGGGTTGGGGTTGGACTTGGGGATCTTAGAGGTCTCTTCTGACCTTAATGATTCTACAGTTCACTTTAGGGATGGTGGTGATGGTTGTGATGGTTGGACTTGATGACATGGGAGATCTCTTCCAACCTCAGTGATTCTGTGGTTCAGTGGGCGTGGTGGTGATGGCTCACTTGATCTGAGAGATCTCTTCCAACCTTCACGATTCTGTGATACTCTGCAGGGGGTGGCCGTCCATAGAGGTGGATGCTCCTCCATTATGGGGGCTGTGGGAGAGGTCGCTGGGAGCAGGAGGGGCTGTAGGGAAGCCATGCTCAGCCCCGTGTCCCTGCAGGAGCTGGCAGACCTGAAGCACGTCCACGCCAAGCTGAAGAAGCAGTACCAGGAGAAGACGGCCGAGCTGGCCCACGCCAACCGCCGCGTGGAGCAGCACGAGGGTGAGGTGAAGAAGCTGCGCCTGAGGGTGGAGGAGCTGAAGAAGGAGCTGGCCCAGGCTGAGGACGAGGTGAATCCCTGCGGGTGGGTGCTTTGGGAGCTGGGTGGCTCTGCTCGGTGCCAACCGCTCCGTTCCCATCACCTCCTGCAGCTGGACGAGGCCCACAACCAGACACGGAAGCTGCAGCGGTCGCTGGACGAGCAGACGGAGCAGAGTGAGAGCTTCCAGGTGCAGCTGGAGCACCTGCAGTCCCGGTGAGTGAGCGGTGGGGACCCACGGCTGGGCTCATGGGCTCCCTGCGCCTGTCCCCTCCCACTGTCTCGCCATTCCACGGGGCCTGAGTGCCCCCAGCACATCCGCGGAGCAGCTCAGCACTGCTGGGGCTCTTCTATCCCTGTCGTTGGGTGTCACTGCCTGAGCCTGTGGGGAGGCAGGAATGCCTGTGGGTCTCGGTTTTATTGCTCCTCAAAACTTTTCTCTGGCCTCCCTTTGCTTCTCCAGCAATAAAGAGGTGAAATGGCCGCAAGAGAGATCGATTCTGCTCTGGAGCGTCTCCGGGAGGCGCTCGGGGAGTTTGTTTTTATAATCTTCCTTTGTTTTATTGGGACATCTTCATTAAATCATAGAGGAATAATGGAGGTTTCATCTTCCCCCTCCCTGCCCCTGCAGCCTCCCCGCACGCTCGCCCTAAATAATTCATGCTTTCCAGTAAAACACACTGAACGAGCGGGGAGCGATGGGGGAGCTGCATCCCTGCCATCCCGGGCCCTCCGTTTCAAATTTTCCCCATCAATCTTTGCTGATGAATTTTAATGTGGGAGTGAGTGAAGAGCTAAAAGCACTGGCGCCGATCCCCCCCCGCCGTGCTCAGAAAGGTTTTTTTGGGGTGTTCCGTGGGGAGAATGCAGATGGGGATACAGGCACAGCCCCTAAGGTGGGGTCCTGTGAGCCGGGGGGGGGGAGATCAGGGCCACCCTCTTCCAGCAGCTCTCTTTTGCAGGCTGAGGAGGCAGCAGAGCACCCCCCTCTTTGGCAAGATGCGCAGCGCTCGCTTTGGCCCTGAAGACCCCGGGGATGGCACCAGCGACCCCGATGAGGATGAGGACTTGCAGATCCAGGTGCCCTAAAGTCTGGGGCCGTGGGGACATCCCGTGGTGATCCCCTGCCAACAAGTGCCTGTCGTCACCGGGCTCATCCTGAACTGCTTTGCACCGCGTCCCCTGTGCCGTGACCTCGCTGTGGATGGGGAAACAGGCACAGGACAGCAGGGAGCAACTTGCTGGGGGGTGTCCCGAGCTCGCTGCCTGCACCTCTTGGACTGACACCCCTTGGCCACCTGAGAGGCTCTGAGCATCAGCCAAGGGGAATGGGAGGAGGAAGCCTGCAGCAGAGAGTGGGGCTGAGCCAAGCAGGTTGAACCGGGGCCTGCAGCCTGCCAGCCTGTCCTGCCCACTATTTTATATATATATATATATATAATTTGTATGTATGTATTTGTATATGACTTTTTTATTATAAACACCAAATGCAGCAGGGCTCAGGCTCCGTTGATGTCTTGGGCTGGAAAAGCAGAGACGGAGGGGACGGTGAGGGGCAGCACTTGGGGGGGCGGTGGGGCTCAGTGAGGTGTCCCTGGGGCTGGGAGGTGTGCGGGGCTGTGGGGGAGCTCCAGTGCTGACCCCAGGCTCTGAATGTGCCCTGCAGTCCAGCTTGAAGCCGCCGAGGAGCTCAGACAGAATCTCATTAAAAATTAACACAGCAATGAGCTCATGGCTTTGCCCTGCTTTTAATGGATCTGCTGAAGGCACGGCTCTTTGGCGCTCGCTTCCTCTTTTAATGACCTTCGTTTGCAGCAAGCATTAATTCTTTCTGCGGGCAGGGGGAGGCACACGGCCGGTGCCCAAGGGGTGACGTGAGACCCTGCAGCACGGAGAGGGGACGGCCGGTATCGCTGTCCTCCAGGCAGACGTGGCCGGGATGCAGCGATCCCGTTTGGGGCGTTCACTCTGAACCCTAACGATGTCCGCGCGGTGGGCGTGGCCAAGCGCCGTCCGGTGGGCGTGGCTTCGGATCGGGGGGGCGTGGCTTCGGATTGGGGGCGTGGCCTCGCGGCTGCCGTGCTCGCAGTGCCCGACGCCGGGGCCGCCGCCTGCAGCGGTGGGGTCGGGTAAGGCTGGGGTTGTGGGGGCTGACACGTGTTGGGGGGGCTGCGGGAGTGATGGGAACTGGGGGGGGGCTCTGGGGATGTAGTGTGGAGCCCGACAGCCGAGCAACCCTTGCCTGTTTCCTAGGTGACTGTTGCCCTCGGGGATTTTTCCATCCCTGGATGGAGGTGGTGGCCAGCACCCCCCCGGCCCTGCGTTCGCCATGTGCACCCCCTCCCCGGGTGCCCCCCTGTCTCCCTCATCTCTCTCTCCCTGCCCTAGCCCTGGGCTCACTCAGGGCTCAATGAGAGCACAGCAATGGGGACCCTGTGGGTGACCACAGTATGGGGTCAGGACATTGCCATCCCCTTCCCATTGCTGGGACGGAGGCAGAGCTGAGCCCATTCTGTCCCATCCCATCCCCATCCTATCCCATGGTACAGGTGATGGTGGTGGCACTGGGGACATGGCCTGGGGACACTGGTCCCAGTGGTGAAGGTGTCCCTGCTCCATAGGCTGTGGCTATGGGAGAGCTGGGTGCAACCTGGCACCTCTTCTGCCTTTGCCAGCAGTGTTTGGCTTCTGAGTAATGCTGTTGGTTTTTCATCTCCCCATGAATTGCACTCCTTATTTACCACCGAGGCTCTGGGATGTGATGTGAGAGGCTCTGACAGGGAGCAGAGATCGGGGTGCTGCAGGGATGTAGGGATGTGGCTGGAGATGGGAGCGTGGGGATGGGGCTGAGGGCTATGGCTGGGGCTGAGCTATGGGGCTCAGAGCTGAAGCTGAGGACTGGGACTTGGGTATGGGGCTCAGGTATAGGACTCAGGTATGGGGTTCGGGGGTACGGCTGGGGCTCAGGTACGAGGCTCAGGGCTGAGGCTTAGGTCTGGGACTCAAATATGGGGCTCAGGTATGGGGTGCAGGGCTGGGGCAGGGGGCCAGGTGTGGGATCATGTGTCCGTTTTGGCAGATATGGGTACGACAGCCCTATGGATACAGTGAACCGGGGACATCGGGGCTGCTGCCCTGCCTGGGTGAAGGAGGAGGAGGAGAGATGAAGACTGGCACAGCACTGCCACCGAAGGTGGAGCTGAGCCAGCATCAGTGCTTGTGAATGGGGCCGTGCGGCAGTGAATGGGGCTGCGTGGCACTGAATGGCTCTGCTTTGGCCCCGTGCCCCCCTCGGAGGGGTTGGGGTAATAACTGTGAACCCTACTGATGGCACTGTGGATGGTCACAGCTACTCCGCTGCCCGGGAGGAAGGAGAGGAAGTGCAGGGGTTAACGCCGGACTGTTCCACTGCGATGGTTCAGGCAGCAGCGGAGGGAAGGGAGGAGGAGGAGGAGGAGGAGGAGAGACGGAGGAAGATGTCACCGTCTCTCACCGATCTGTCGTTTCTCTTTCTCAAGAAGGGAACCCGTGGCAGTGGGGAGAGGATGGGGAACGCCGCCGAGACAAAGCCGGGGCGGAGGCGGCGGTGAAACGGGAGCGCAGGTGAAGGAGGGAGGAAGAGGAAGGAGGAGAAGGGGGGGCCGGGCTCCGCCATGGCTACGAATTTTAACGACATCATCAAGCAAGGCTACGTGAGGATGAAGAGCAGAAAGCTGGGGGTGAGTGAGTGGGGGCCGTGAGGGGGGGGGGGGATGCTCCACGGGCTCCAAATGCCGTGAGAGGCGACGTGGCCAGGGATCCATCCACGTTGCCTCTCACGGCATTCGGCGTCCCTGGCGTTTTGGGTAAAAAAAAAAAAAAAAAAGGCATTATTTTGGGTTTGCATGCAGACTGG